TCTCATTTTGTGTCACTGTAAAGCTTTCTCTGTTCATCTGTAGATTCTTTTTTTTTTTTTTTCCTATAGGAAAGGAACTTTAGCAGTTAAAACTATTCTGTAGTGACAGAGTCCAAAATTGTTGGAAAAGTTAACTGAAGGTGCAGTTGAATACCAAAAATTTGAGCTACTTTTAGTTGTACTTTTACTGGTGGCTGGTGGGTGTTCTGTGCCTGTCTTCTAGATTTATAACGTATGGTCTGTAACTACTCTTCCTTGGTATAATAACATACTGGCTTAACTTGTATTTCCTTCCTCATTTACTGGTCTTGATTACTACTTGATTGAGAGAGTTGAGTACGTGAGTCTATATTTTTAAGTTCACGGATCACTTTACTTATTTGTGAGTTTATGGGATTAGACTATTTGAAGTTCCTTCTTGCATAGGAATTTCTTAAAACAATTTTCTCTAATGTTTATCTTGAAACAATGGTGTATTGTTGTTACATCATGTCAAGATTGTATAGTCTCTTTTTTTTCTCCTTAATTTTATTTATTTATTTAGAAGGTAGGGAGCCTGTGAGAGCAAAGGTGTGTATGTGAGAGAGAAAGCAAGCACATTGCTGCTAATTCACAGATTCGCTCTACCAGTGCCTAGTAGGGCTGGAGCTGGTGTGACTCAATCTGGGAGTCAGGAGCTCACTCCAAGGCTCTCGGGCACATGGCAGGTACTGAGGAGGTAGCCAGGAGCCTCATTAGCAGGAGGCTAGTCTGGAGCCAGGGCCAGGAACTGAGGGCAGCAAATCTCCTGGGATGAAGGCATCTTAGTCATGGGGCTCTCAGTTCTGGCTTGCAGGTGTTTATCTGTTTGCCCCACATCCTACTTTCTATTACCAGATTGAGTTGTTTCATAAGCTTTGTTCACTGGATCATAATCTTTCAGCTTGTGGTATCTAATATTGTAGTGTTTTTTTTACCATATAGTTTGGTAATGCTTGACATGTATATTGTTGAAGGTGGATCAAATACTAAGTTTATCTTTAACCTTCAGATTTAGTGGCTCAAAGATATATCAAAATAGAGGTTAATAAGTATTTTTTGTTACATTAAGTAGGTATTGAATTAGTGTACCCTCCAAAGAGATAATTAACCACTGTTCTTCTCTGACCTGCCCCACATACCACCCCCTCTTTTTCTTTTCCATTAAAGCACAAGCTTGCTTCAGGTAGTTTATAGTTATGTGGAAGTAATACATTGGACCAGGTAGCCACACGTCATTTCATGCATGTAGCGTAATGGCACTGTAATGGTTGAAGTTCTTAGAAAAGTCCAGCTGTTGGAAGGATTGAAAGCACACAGATGGGAGAGATTGATGTCAGGCTCTGGGGACTGATGCTGGTGTGTTGCTAGTAAGCATTCCGCCTTCTCTTCGTTTCCTCCTTTTCCTTTTGCACATTTTTGGAAAGGTGTGGCTTACTGTTTTTTCGTAGCCCTCACTTTTTGTTTTCCAAGCGGATGGGTATTATTGAAAGCAACACAAAAGGTGGCAGTGGCCAGGGCAGGTGCAGACCAAGCTAGGAGCTTAGGACTGCATCCCAGAGCCCCCGCGTGGGTGACAGGAGCTGGGGACCTCTCACTGCTGCCTTCCTGAGGTGTGTTAGCAGGGGGCGGAATGGGAAGTAGGGAGCCAGGACTTGAACTGATTAGCATTGCAAGTAACTACTTTAACCTTCTGTGTGCTAACACTGGTCTCACCGGAGTCTACTCTTTTTTTTTTTTTTAAAGATTTATTTTTATTATTTTTTCATTGGAAAGGCGGATATACAGAGAGGAGAGACAGAGAGGAAGATCTTCCGTCCGATGATTCACTCCCCAAGTGAGCACAACGGGCCGATACTATGCCGATCCGAAGCCAGGAGCCTCTTCTGGGTCTCCCACGCGGGTGCAGGTTCCCAAAGCTTTGGGCCGTCCTCGACTGCTTTCCCGGGCCGCAGGCAGGGAGCTGGAAGGGAAGCGGGGCTGCCGGGATTAGAACCAGCGCCCATATGGGATCCCGGGCGTGCAAGGCGAGGACCTTTAACCACTTGTGCCACCGCGCCGGGCCCGGAGTCTACTCTTAACCATTATATTGGGCAGCCTGTGTAGTGTCCTTGGTTGGTTGGTTTGTTTAAGAAGTTTGGAAGTACTATTTAAATGACTTTGCAGTTGAAACAGATTTTATTCCCTATTTTGCAAGTGATAGTAATGACTTACACACTGTAGGCTTTGTATTGGGGAAAAAATCCAATGCGTTAATTAAGACTCCTAATTTTCAAACTCATTGTTTACTTCAAATTATCAGGTAAATCACAGTATCAAGAATATTTTCAGGGACCTGCATTGTGATGTTGTGGGTAAAGCCATGTTCTGTAATACCAGCATTCCTATGGGCACCAGTTTGTGTTTAGACTGCTCCATTTCCAATCCACGCCCCAGTTTACAATCTGGGAAAAGCAGCAGAAGATGACCCAAGTGCTTGGACCCTTGCCACCCACACAGGAAACTTGGATGTGGTTCCAGGCTTTAGCCACCATGGTGGCCTGTTCTCATCTGAGAAGTGAACCAATGGGTGGAAGAGAACTCTCACTCCCTCTCCCACTTCCTCCCACCCCTTGTCTTCCTCTTTCTCTGTTACTTTCATGGAAGTATTTCTTTAAAACTTTCTAAAACATTGGGACCAGTGCTGTAACAAACCACCTATGGCACCAACATACCCTGTGGGCTCCAGCTCAAGTCCCAACTGCTCTGCTTCCAATCTAGCTCCTTCTAATGTGCCTGAGAAAGCAGCAGAGGATGGCCCAAGTGTGTGGGCCCCTGCCACCAACTGGCGAGACCCAGATGAAGATCCTAGCTTTGGCTTCCAACTGGCCTAGCTCTAGCTGTTGTGAACCAATGAGTAACTCTGGGAAGTGAGCCAGCAGATGACCTCTACCTTATCTATTCTTTCTAACTCTGCCATTCAGATAAATAAATCTTTTTAAAAAAATTTCAAAGATGATTTTCAAAGCTACTGTTAAGAGTAGAAAAAACTCTTTAATTAAACAGATATGCCACTGAATCTTCACTTCAAAACATGGACATCAGGAAAAGCTCAATTATATATGTAGTGTGTGTATAAATAAAATGTATACATACACAAACATATATATACATGTACATGACTGTAGGTTGATTATTGGATCTATTAATAGTAGTTTATGTTTGAAACTTAAGAGCTTTTGTTTTGAAAAGGACAGAATTGTTACTATTCAGGAAATCAAGTTTTTAAAAATAATGTCTGTCTTCTGTTGATTATCATTTTTAGTACACTAAAACCTCACAAAAATACATAAATGTGAAAACTGAAATCCACAAATTAGTACATTTTTTATATTTTAGAGAAGGTCAGGTATTTATCATAAGATCATTGTATAATGTTACCTATACCTTTTTGTGTATCATCTTATGGTGACCTTGTAAAATGGAGATTAAAGCCTGTCATTGTGCCTAAGCAACATAGATTTTAATAAATATCACACAAAAATATGAACTTGGTGAAATGCTCCTTAAATTTGTTCTTGTTATATATATGTTGCACTGCATTGATCATAAAAAATTTACATGTTTCATCTAGTGGTATCAGAATTGCACCCCTGAAATGGAAACTCATAACCTTAAATTTCAAAATTTTAATGGCAAGTGCCATTAAGTTTTAGTTCTTTAAAGATCTTTACTGGTATCCAACTTTTCCTTTTAGATAAAACAAAAAACTCAGAGGCAAGTTAAATTTCTGTGGTGTTTATCTCAAAGATAATGGTTCAATTAACTAAGATAGGATTTCAGAGAAGTACAATATTGAATGTTCTTTCTGTTCTACTCCTAATACTAATGATTTTGCTGTTAGGTTGTAATGAAACTCTGGGAGTAGGTTTTTATTTATTTTCAGTATTATGTACAGACTTCTGAGTAGGCCTATTTTTTGAAGGAAGCTAAACATAATTCAAGATTATACTTTTGTTTTTGATAAAGGAGAGAAAGAATAATAAGCCTTTATTTTAACCTAGCCTACAGAATCAGTTGTATTCATATGGTAGTGCTACCACTGGCTTACTGTGTAACATTTGTCAATGTAATAATTCCTCTGAAGCTTCAAACTGAAGTATCAAAACACATAAATATTCAAATAGTCACTTTGTGGATTTGTTATCCTCATATGACAGTTTCAATCTAATATGCTTTTGTTTTGATCAGAGCCTATGGCTCTTAAAGGCATAATTTAGTAACAGAATAAAATGTTTTCTTATAGGTTCCGTGTGACCTATTAGGTCAAGTTTTGATTTAATTATTCATTTCCATTTGCCCATCCTACTGTTATTTTTTTTCTTTAAGGATTTATTTATTTTTATTGGAAAGACAGAATTACAGCAAGGGAAAGACAGAGATCTTCCATGTGCTGGTTTATTCCGCAGATGCCCAAGAAAACCAGAGCTGGCATGTCTGCAGCCAGAAATCAGGAGGTTCTTCTGCATCTTCCACTTGGGAGCAGGTGCCCAGGCAGTTGGATGAGCCTCTACTGCTTTTCCAGGCCCCAAGCAGGGAATTGGGTTAGAAGTGGAGCAGCCTCGACTCAAACAGTGCCTTTTTGGGATGCCGGCACTGTAGGTGGAGACTTAACCTACTGTGCCACTGTACTAGCCCCAATCCCGTTATTTGTAAAAGAGGGTTTAATTGCAGTGTTTGTGCTTTTGGACAATCCTAGAAGTAGAAATGAAAGAAGTTCATATATGAGGTGATTGGACCAAGGCTTATGTAAGAGATTTAAATTTGAGTGAACAGATTGAGAAATAGTTAAAATTCTAATAATTGATTTGGAGTAAAATCTAATAACTTATGTTACATGTACAGTTTGTTTTTCAGCTACTTCTAATTATATATATTTTGAGTCAGCATAGTTCATTTTATGGTTGCTGTTTTAACTCTAGTAATTTCCCTTTTTCCCCTAGGTGGTATCATGGAAAACTTGATAGAACCATAGCAGAAGAGCGCCTCAGGCAGGCAGGGAAGTCTGGCAGCTACCTTATAAGAGAGAGCGATCGGAGGCCGGGCTCCTTTGTGCTTTCGTTCCTTAGCCAGACCAACGTCGTTAATCACTTTAGGTAAGTCTGTAGTGCTCACTGAAGGCTGTACATTTAGCTGTTTGGATATTCATAAAGATACCTGCTTTCAACAAACGTGGATGATCCAGTGATACCAAACAATAGAGAAACCTGTCCTCAGGTAGGGATTTACAGTGATTTAGAGTGATTTCTGTTGAACATTTTTAATTTAAAAGCATTACTATTAGTCCACCTTAACCTGAAAATCCTCATACTTTTAAATTGTAAAAAACCTGCAAATAAGCTTGAGTATTAAAGTAGAAATTAAAGAAGTGTGAACTCTTAGATGGCAGAGGAGGAAATACTGCTTGAAAATCAAGGTCTGAGCCTTTAATTCTTAGCTTCACCATTCTGGAATTTTGCAGTAACTTTAAAGGGACATGTTGATACCACAGTCTGTGTGTAAATACCTTTACATTTCTTATATCCTTTTTCATATTTATGGGAGAAATGAAAAAAAAGTAAGATAGTGCCTATATTAATTGACCAAGGGTTTGTGTACCCTTGACTTTTAGATTTTAAAATGAGTTTAAAAAATATACATATACTTACATATGTGTTGTTATTGTTATATTTTGTATAGATATTTTAACATGTGAGCTACTTTTAGTAAGCGTTTTAAAACTAGCTATGTAATTCAGTCTCCTATAGAAATGAAGAGAAATAAGGTTAGATTTCCAGGAATTAATTGAATTATATATATGTTCGTGGGTCTCATAAACCATGTTAAATGTATACACAAACTAGTATTCGTATATGTGATTGTTACATGACATTATGTTCGTGTGTTTTAAAAGCAATAATAAATAATACCCATTGTGAATATGCTAATGCTATTTTATTATAGGAATATTGGTAAAAGGAAAATATGAAAATTGTGAATTTATAATTTATGAAATTGAGTTTCCTGCTGGCTGTAACAATTTATATGGTGATGCGAGATTTTTTTTTCTCATCCACTTAGGATTATTGCTATGTGTGGAGATTATTACATCGGTGGAAGGCGTTTTTCTTCATTGTCAGATCTAATAGGTTATTACAGTCATGTTTCTTGTTTACTTAAAGGAGAAAAATTACTTTATCCAGTTGCACCACCAGAGGCAAGTAAAATATGGATAAAATATCATTGAAAACTTTTTTTTTTGCTTTAATTATGGGTTTTAGTTTCTTTGGAGAAGTGTGACATTAAGTTCTGCTTGTAATGTTACTTTGAACAAAACTGAGTTTTTTGAAATAGAGAAGGCAATTTTTCAGTAATTTTATATTTAAGCAGGCAGATTTTTTAAAAAGTAATACTGTATGGTGATGACTTAGCAAATATTTTTCATGTTTGAGGAGTAATAACTGGTTTCATATCCTGAAGAGAGATTTCCTATCCCTGAAGATGCTGCAAATATAGGATAATTTGTATTTCCTACATTGGTTTATTTAAGCCACAGTGGTCATTCCGATTACCTGATAAAAACACTGATAATACTTTTAAAAGAGTTTCTGTTAGTGGAAGAATGGGCTTTTCTAGGCCGTTGCTGCTGAGCGGCTCGGTAGAAATTAGTCTGGATGATTCTGCAGGATTATGAAGCACTGACTTTACTCTTCTGTAGACCTACTTTTGACATGACAAAGAAAGATCTAATTTTTTTTTTCAATTGATTCTAGCCAGTGGAAGATAGAAGGCGTGTGCGAGCCATTCTGCCTTATACAAAAGTACCCGACACTGATGAAATAAGGTATTTTATAGTATATTCTCATGTATAAGCGTTGAAATTGGCATTGCAGAAGCTGTGCTTTGAAGTTGTTTTGATCTTTGTGTAGGAGAATTTTGAAATTTCAGGAAATAGAGTGAAGTGAGGTTAATACTGGATCTGCGTTGCCTGTAGTGCTGCGTTGGTTCAGGCTGTAGATATGGTCTGTAGGAGAAACGGTTTAGCTTTCTTCCCATGGTCTCAGGTAAGCGGAGTCTTCCTGGGCTGCAGCTATAAATGACACTGAGAATTATTTGCTTTCTCTGATGTAATAGGTGAATAATTTTAAATGTTAAGAATATCAAGGAATTATAGAACATGATAGTTTGTTGTTTGTGCGGTGTACACTTTGACTTTCATGTAAATGAGAAATTCTCATTCTTTTTGTAAGCCATTTAATGCAAAGGAACTGTGTCTTAACCTTAAAATAAGAAGGCACCATCTGGTTAAATTACTCATTCTGAGTTGCTCTTTGAAATTGGTGAGAATATTAAAAATGTAGTAAAAATTTTTACACTGAAAATCTCTGGAAGTGTTTTTTTAAAAATCAAATTAGAGATTTAACCCTCAAATAGGAATTATATTTATTTATAGTTGTCCTAAAAGTAATTATTTCTCATTTAAATTTCATGAACTCATGTCCCATCATTTAAGTTGGAAATTCCAATAAAAGAAAGGAGAAAAGTATATATCATAACTGAGAACATTGGTAAATTCAATTTAGGGATTATAAATAACTTGTCAATTCCCGGAGGGATCTCAGAAAGTAGTTCTGGAAGTATGATCCATGTTACCGTGAAAATTTTGCAAGATCTATTTGAGCTGGTTCTTGCCTGAAGGGCCTTGACAAAGTTCCGAACCAGCGTGCATTATTTTCTCTCCCTTTTACTCATTCACCCACCAGCAGCCCACAATGACCAGGCCTGGCTGGAACAGAGCTGGATGTCTCAATTCACCGTCCAATGCTCTTCAGTGGGCGGCAGGAGCCCAGAGCCACTGCTTGCTGCCTCTTAGGATCTGTTTGGTGGGGCACACAAGCAATTAACTGAACCCAGAAGCTCTGAGGTGGGAGGGATATCCTAACTCAAGTTTAGCCTCCCATCCAACTTTTTTCTTTTTAATTCGCTGTTTTCATGAACACTTTGAAGTTCCCTTAGGATTATCTAGAGATTCATTATGAGGATCTGATTCCCGTAACTTGGTCCGTGGAGAAGCCCTGTGGTCTGCTTTCTGTGAGCTGGAGACTCAGGAAAGCCGGGATCTAACTTAATCCAGGGCAGAGGCTTCATACTCAGGGAAGTGATGGTGTGAATATCCCAGCTCAGCCAGGGAGGCAAAGAAAAGAGGTACGTTCTGCCTTCCACATGTGTCCCATTCAGGCCCTCACTGGACTGGGTGATGCCCTGCCACACTGAGAGGGCAGGATAATTTATAGGTAGTTCACTGACTCAAATGCTGCGTTGACTCACTACACTCTTCATAGACAAATGCGAAAGTATTTATTCTGGGTGCTCTGTGACTCAGTCGGTTTGACATGTAAAGCTAATCATCCTACTCCTTGGCATCAAAATTATTTCTAAGACACCATTTGCATTTTCCACTGTGATTTTTTAAAATTGATTTATTTTTATTGGAAAAGCAGATATACAGAGGAGAGACAGAAAGATCTTACATCCGCTGGTTTACTCCCCAAGTAGCCACAATGGCTGGAGCTGAGCTGATCTGAAGCCAGGAGGCAGGAACTCCTACTGGGTCCCCAACACGGTCATGGGATCCCAAGGATTTTGGCCATCTTCTGCTTTTCCAAGCCAGAAGTGGAGAGCTGGATGGAAAGGAAAGCAACCAGAACGTGAACCGATCGGTGCCCGTATGAGATCTCAGAACTTGCTGGAGGGAGATTCAGCTAATTGAGGCATTGCGCTGGCCCCTCCACTGTGAAGTTTGCAGTAATGGTACAAAGGGTAGAACTACTGGCCCTTGGATAGAAATCAGGCCAGTGGTCGACACTGAAGTGCACAGTGTTCGTCACTGCTCCAGGCTTGCAGTCAGTCAAGAATAGTTGCACATCAAGTGTTCTTGGTGACAGCCTGTGGTGCAGTGGATTAAGCCACCACTTAGGACAACTGGAGCTCCTAATTAGAACACTGGTTAATTCTTCTCTTTCATTAATACTGCAACTCCTCACTCGTGTTCCTGGAAAAGCAGTGGAAGTGGCTCACGTATTTAGCACTCCTATTTCACATGCGGGAGACCTGGATGGATTTCCTGGGTTCAGCTTGGCTCACCTCTTCAGTATTGCTGTTTGGGGAATGTACCACAGGATGGAAGATAACTCTGTCACCTTCTCTTTCCCTTCCTGTGTGTCACTCTGCCTTTCAAATAAGTGAAGATCCTGGTGAGGCAGAGAAAATATTTTAGTAAACTTCAACCTTCAGCTACACATTTTTAATACTATATTTGATGAAATAGGAGGTATACTTTTTTATAACAGAATTCACTGTCTTAGGGAAAAGAGAAGGTTGAAACTGTTACTTTTTGCACACTGTTTTTACTTGAGAGAGTGACTGACAGGCAAACTATGGTTATTCAGATTCCAGTTTTGACATCTTTTACGAATAAGAACAAAATGAGAATTTTATGTCAAGAAAATAACTGACAATGTTCTTACCATTGACAAAATGTGAGTTTTTGAGCAAAATTTCAAGTTGAGGAAACCTTGTATCAGGCATCAAGAATTTGACATCTCCCCAGCAGTGCCTTTCTGGTACAGTCAATTGTAATATTAAAGAATGAGATGTTTTGATGGTGTTTAATTTGTTAACTGTAAGATACGCATAGCTCAGTGAGCCAGGGTTTTCTGAATGATTAGAGAAGGTTGCTTAAAATTATATGTAGGGAACAAATCCAGAGTATAAAATAGTCTAATTGATGTCATTGTAATGCATACAAAATGTTCATTGATAACAAAGCTGTAGAGAGCTCGTTACAACTAAGCTTTAAGATAAAATACTGCTTGTGTTAGTTTAATATAGAATATTTATATTTGATATCATGGAATATCTAATTGAAAAGGTTATTAAGATACTTATTCTTGTCCTGCCAACATATTTGTGTGACGCCACATTTTCTTCATCTACTTTAAGAAAAATTTTATAGTAATAGATGGAATGCTGAAACATATGAGAATCAGTTTTCAAGTAAGATTTGCAAAAACGTAATGTTACTGAATTTGTAAATCCTGTAGTACTCATGTTCTTCATGTAAGAAGATACATAAAAAGAGATGAATAAATAATTAAAACTTTTGAATTCTGATGTGAATGAGTATCAGCACATATGTGGTAGATAAAAGCGATTTAGGATATCAGTGTTTCAGAATATAGATGAGTCCTAAGATTCAGAAAAACAATTAGAACTGATTATCTAATAAGATGGGAATTTAAATAATTAGAATGTGTAAATTTTGATATTATTAATTTATATGATGACTTTAAGAAATTTTGTATAAGAAATACTTTTAAGGTAAAAATATCTGGAAATTAATGATATTTAGCAAAGTACTTTAACTTCTTTTGGGGAAATATAAAGTAGTATGAATGAATCTTAGTTTGTGTTGGAACTGATGATGTTTTTTAATTTTTTGGTTTTGCATCATAAAATGTTGGTATAGCAATAGTAATGGAGCTTAAATATGACTCACTAAAAAATTATTACATGTCTATTTCAGTTGTTGTTTATATACTTTGTTTTTACATGTAGTAGGTGTTTTAATGTGCTTTTTATGTGGTTTTCAAGAGGAATAATTTATCTTGTTAAGGAATAATGTCTGCTGCCATTCAGTTGGTGATACGGTGGCCACCATTGAGAAAACTAGTATATCAAGAGAGCATGTGTTACTTTGTGATCATTCTATTTTACAGGGAAGTTGTGTGTGAGTTTTAATTTCTCAGATTTGTTGAAGAAACAGTGAAAGTTAAGAGCTGGTATACAGAAAATACAACTTTAAGGATATGAGGAGAGATTTACTTAATAGCAGCTTCTTAATATTAAAACAGGAAAATTGCTAAAGGAATATGACAGTATGTATGTAGGTACATAGCATCCTACAGATCTTGAAGCATTACATGTTTCTTTCAAGACTGAAATGAAAGATTTACGGAATTCCTGATGATTCTGTATTGAGGACATATGTGAACAATTTAGGATTGTGAGGATATTGAAAACACAGGTTGCAACGGGAAGACTAAGTTGTGCATGCATGCTATATTCTAAAATTGAAAAATGCACATCTTTTAGTAATACATTACTTGATGCCACATTCAGAGAAAGAATTTCATACTCATTGAAAGAGAGGTGATTGAGTGAATGACTTAAACTCTCATCAGTGATATGAAGGTTAATTTGACATAAGGATTTATATGATAAAAGTATTTGTGCTACCTAAAATAGACTTTTCTAAGTTAACTGTCTTGTATAAAGTGCAATGTGTTCATTGTATTTATTTTCTTTTTTATTTTATATATAATGCATATATGAAAGGTTAATACCATTGAAACCTAGATGCTTCATTCCCATTTTCTTGGAGTTGTACCCCAAAGCCTACTGCTTACCTGTCAGTTAGTCAAATTAGCTTACACAAATTCTAATTTGTTTTATTTTATTTCATTTTATTTTATTTTATTTTGACAATCTTTACATAGTTAATTAGGGTAAAAATGTTCAAGGGCTACAGGAAAGTGGATAAGACTAGTATTTTTTCCATATTGTTTCCTTCATGTTTAAAGGGGGGCATTAAGGGAGAAGGCCCACCCAGTTTCCCACCCTCCCTAGGTCCCGGATATAGGGTATGCTCTGAGGTTCTTGCTCAAGTGGTTTTGATATTTTAACAGTTATGAATTGCTGCCAATCTTGCCACTCCAAGCACTATGAGGTCTTTGAAAAATCCACTGATTGACATAGTCCATCATAGCTGAGCTGGTTGGTTGACTCGTTTTGTCTTTTTTTTCTTGGTTGGGGTTCTGAGTCCAGCATTTAGATTAGGAAGATCTCCAAAGAAACTTCTTGTATGTGCTAGCAAGTACAGGGCCCAGCACCATCCATTGCCCCAATCAGCTGGTGGTTGCAATTGCTCAGTTGGTTCTGTTTTCACTCCTGACTTCCCCTCGAACCAATGGGTGTTGCAGTCCAGCCTGGTTCTGCCCAGCACATACTTGGCCCTCACATAAACCAGTGGGAGCTGCAGCCTAGTTGGAGCGACCTGCAATAACCCCCACCAGGCCCACCCCCTACCCTGGATTGCCAGTATGTGCAGCAGTAATCCAGTCTGTCCCAAACCCCATTCCACCCCAACCGCTGTCTTAGTTTTATGTCCTCCTGTGGAAGTGGAAACCCAAGAGGGATGAGCCCACTATTTCCCTCCCAGGCCTCTCCCACTCCCAGATTCCAGCTGATGCTGTGGCTAAGCCCAGACAACCCTCGCCCACTCTAATTTTGTTTGCACCAGTAGGAATAATCAGCCCAGCCCGGCTTTTCCCTGATCCAGGCCACATGAGGCGCACAGGTGTGGTATCCCTGCCTAGTCTGGTCTGCCCCCATTGCAGCCTATGCTCTCCTGCAGGAGTAGCTGTCCAGCATAGGAATCCTCCTTTATTCCCCTGCCGGCTCTGCCCACTTCCTTTCTTGTTCTCAGGCTGGTTGGGCGCTGCGGTCCCTTGCTGTACAGGCAACCTCACCTTGGCATTCCGTATTGTGCACTAGTCATTGTTGTGACCGAACCTGGCTCGACCCACACTGGTGCTTGGATTTGCCAGTGGATGACGTGGACAGATTCAGCCTGGTCTTCCCCCGGCCCATGCCAATTGTATGCCAGGGGGTAACTTTCTGTGGCCTGTTCTGCGCTGTTTCCTATCATGTTTCTTGCGCTTACCTGCTGGGTCTGTGTCCTGCCAGAGGAGTTGCCCAGGCTCCTCCATCAGAACCTCTCCCATGCCTGATTTTGCGCATACCAGGGGGTCCATGTGCCAGCCCTACTCAGTTCACCTCCTGTCCTAACAGGAACAGTGGCTTTTCCTGACTGGCCTTCAACCCAATCTGGTTCTTGCTATTGGATGTTTCAGCCCAGCCATTATTTGTCCATACCCACATATGGCTCACACATGGCTCAGTAGGGGTTTGAGACCTTGCCTAGTCCATCGCACATCTGCCCTGGTCCTCCAGGACACCAGGCGGTGTTGGGGTCTGGCCCGGTTCGGTGCATCCAATCCCAGTACACACTTGTGCCAAGGGAGACTACAACCGTTTCCAGATCAGAATGCAGCCCCCATTCCAGGTCACACGCCCCTTGGCAGGAACCTCAACCCAGCTAGGGTTGTCCCCTTAGCTCCCCAACCGGGGCTGTTCCCAGCCATAGTTCACTCGCATGCTGGTGGTTGCTCTGACTCAGCTTGGCTCAGCCCCTCACCTGTCCCGACCTCTGCCTTAGACACTGTAGCTTAGCGTCCCTGGCTCCCGCAGACCAGTAGGTACAAGAGCCTAGCTCAGCATGACCTGTGCTCCCTCCTGGGTCTAGTTTTGCTTGTGGGCTAAGGTTTGCTCAGACCTGCCTGATCTACTCTGTTCCATTACCAGTTGACACATTAGCCAGCTGTTGGAGCTACTTTTGCAGGACAAGCCCCACGCCATAGCTTCTGCATGGCCTGGCATTTGGTGGTCGGCATTGTTCAGTGATTACAAGTTTTACAAAGGAAGAGTTACTGCCAGTGGGAATCTTTACGCATGTTTCAGGTCCTAGAAGCACAATGGGTTCAACCTGGAGCTAATTAAGCAGCGACTCAAAGAACCAAATCCCCAGAGTTCCCTAGCCGGGCGGCCAGCAGGTGGAGTGTGGCACCAAATGGCGCACTGGCCGCCTGGGAACAGCTCAACACGTGCACATGGCGGCTGTCTGGGATCCAGGCATGAGACGCCTTGTCCTGAGACCCACCAGCAGCCGGGAGGCTCACAAATTCTAATTTGAATCTAGTAATAATCCAATGATGAAGATAGTGTAGGTATACTTTATCCTACGAATTTCATGTATGAATGTATCAATTCAGATTGTTGTCTTTAAAGTTTTATATGTATGTGAAATGCTAAAAGAAGGACAGTAACTTGCCTGTAATTTCTTCATGTTTTTCCAGTATTGCAATGATTCTGCTTGTGGTAAATGACTATGCAGAACTCTGTATTTAAAATTATTAATTTTAATAATTTCATAATTCCTGTTTTCAGTTTCTTAAAAGGAGATATGTTCATTGTTCATAATGAATTAGAAGATGGATGGATGTGGGTAACAAATCTAAGAACAGATGAGCAAGGCCTTATCGTTGAAGACTTAGTCGAAGAAGTGGTAAGTTTTGTTCTTTTCAACTTGGGATCCTAAATATTTTGTAAGAATTTGAACAACTTCGTAATTGAGGAAACTATGAATAATTCCTCTTTAAGGACTTTTTAAGAAATTTTGCATTGATATGTTAATACTTTCAGTAATTACTGCTTATTTGTAAATAAAATAGCCATGCCAACTTGTTATAATATGTAAGTGCCAGTTTTCAGAAAGTTTTCTTGAATTTCTGTGGATTACAATTTTGTAGTTTTTATTAACCTCTTAGTCTTACTCATAACTGAAATTGTTTCAGATTTCAGCGTATATTTGGTTTTAGGGGTTTTTTGTTGCTTAAGATTTATTTATTTTACTTGAATGAGTTAATAGGGAGTGAGAGATATCTCTCATCCACTGGTTCACTACTCAAATAGTCCGAAACCAGGAGCTTTGGGTCTTCAATGTGGGTGCAGGTGTCCAAAGCCTTGGACCATCCTCTGCTGCCTTCCCAAGCCATTAGCAGGGAGCTGGATCAGAAGTAGAATATCTGAGATTCGAACTAGTATATATGGGATGTTGGCACTGCAAGGTGAAGACTGGCCTGATAAGCTACTGCACCAACCTCCAGATTCTTTATCTTCCAAATGTATAGTTTTCTAGCAACCTTGGAAAAATTAGTTTATAATCCTCATTATCACACACTGTTCAGTCTTTTTAACTCCTCCTTTTGCTGCCATTACATAATTTGTTATTAATCATCTCATTGTACAAATGATCACATGTGTATTTTTAAATAATGTCAACATTTTAGCAATATTTGTGCATCAAAGATAGGGTTTGGTACTACCAGGATATGCCAAACATTACAATTTTGGAATTCTTTCCTCGGATTTGTCTAGCATGAGGGATGGCTTTTTGTTTTGTAGTTCTCAAAGGCACTGTTTTTAAATTACACTATGGATTGGTAACATTTTGAAACCCATGCTCTGATTTTCTCTAGAAAGAAAGCAGCAGAGAATATTTTGTGTGTGTGTGTGTGTGTGTGTGTGTGTGTGTATTTTAAATTATTGGCCTATTGTGGCAGTCAGATCTTGTGCAGAAGAAAAACATACTGAGGAAAGACGGGAGGGGCTAAGGAAGTGATGTAATATATTCCACACTCATAGTCACATAGAAGAGTTGGTTAATACTCCTAATTGTTGGATTAATAGTCTGCACCTAATAGTGGGAGAGATACTTACTACATATAGGCAAGAAGTATTGAAGCGAAGACAGCTTATTCCCTTTGTTGATTTTCCCACAGATTTTGTCTTTTAAAAAAATATTTAAAAAGGGAGTTCAGGGAATACAGTTAAAACCTCAGTGTTGTGTTTTCATCTCGCTATACCATCCTCTTCCAGATCCTGATTACTTAGAGGAAATTACAGTATAGTTAAACTACCCTTGATCTCTTAGAATTCTAGATCAGATATAATAAGATAAGCTGTAATAAGGGTAATTGAATAGTGCCTAGTGTTGGCAGAAAAATACTAATTAACAGCCCAGTCTAGGATAAGGAGACATGAAAAACAATGTGGGTTAAGAGCTCAGTATAAATGAGCAGTGTGGAATGGCTGCTAAAATGAATATGACCCTACCTGGATTACTAGTGAGAGAGTGTCAAGTCGGAGTGCTGAACCCGTTTTGTTCCAATTTAGAGTGATTTTTGAAAATGGGATTCATTAAAAGATGTCAATTTCTTGTAGGTTGAAAAGTCATTTGGATCTTATCTAGATTGTGAATATATTCCAAGCAATTGTGTTAATGGTTGGATTTAAGTTTCCCCTATTGAATTTAGATTACTGTTCTTTAAGAGCCTTTATAAATTTCAGAAAATGTTTGAGGGTGAATTTTTGTGTGTGTGTGATTTGCTATTGTACCCCACTGCTTTTAATTGTCTGCACTGAAAAAAAAATAGGCATTGGTTAGATGTTGTTGAGGGAATCATGCCTCTCTATTTTCCATCTTCCTTTTTAATGCCTGCCTTGTAAAATGTGATTCCTTTTTAAGTGACTCAGTTGAGCTGTCACACCTTTATAGAGGCTTTATGTCTGTAGATTCTCTTGGGGCTAACTTGTGTCATATGTTCATATAACACTTTGTGACGTCTATTTTGCATCATGTGAAATTCTTGTGTAACAAATATGTGAATTTCTTTGGATTTTTGAAGAAAGTATATTATTTGAAAGGGAAATGACAGAAAAGTATCAGAGGGACAGACAGAAATCTTCCATCTGCTGGTTCACTCCCCAGATTACTACAGTAGCCATGTCTAGGCTGAGCTGAAGCTGGGGACCAGGAACTTCTAGGTCTACCATGTGCTGTCTGAGGCCCAAGCAGGTGGCCCAAACTCAGCTGCTTTTCTAGGCACTGGAGCAGAACCAGGAGTGTAAGCAGAGCTGCCCGCATTTAAACCAGCAGTCTGGTGTGTGGTGGCAACTTCGCATGCTGCAGCTTAACCCAGCACACTTCAGTGCTAGCCTTCTATTCAGTTCAGAGGTGTTTTTTTTTTTTTTTCATGCTACCTTGGATATGGTAGGTATTTTGTGACTGCTTTTAATTTGGTTAGATATTTAAATGAGTGAGGACAAAATTGAGAATTAAATACATGTGTAGTTAATTGGTTTTTTATTCTTCACTGTGTGTTCAGTGGAAATTCAGCGCCAGGTGTTATGTTAGGACAGCAAATAACTCAGTGAAATGTGTACTCAGCATTGTCCCATGCTTGTAATGATTGTTTGTGGTGGTGGATATTAACCAAGAATGACTAAGACCTTAAGATGTTTATAGCCGCTTTCTGGTACACACTAATGCATCTCAAAAATGGAAATAGAGAAAAAAAAAGGATAATAAAAAGGATGCCTTTTCTATACTTCTGTTTTTAGGAGTTCTACATATCTGGGGAGATTGCATTTCAGATGGTTGGTTTCTTGTAGCGTGTAGTAAGAAGTGACTAGAAAGAACAGGCTGCAGTGGTAGGGAGTGTGGAGAAGCCTGTCGCTGGCTCTGTGTGACCTCCTGCAGATGTGTACAGATAGTTGGGGACATCAGATGAGCAACATTTGTTTTGGTAAGGGACATGGGTTGTAGAATGAGGACTTTATTGATAACAAGGAGATGTTACAAGTTTAGTTTAAAGAATTTGTTTTAATTGTGTTTTATCAAAATGCAGGCAAGCTTCCGTGGTGAACCCAGGCTGGAGTTGGGGAGTGGGGCTGGGACAGAGAGGTCAGCTCTGTCTGTACAGTTTAGCAAAAAGGGGAGGGGATGTGAAGGAGCAAAGGCAGCAAGTGAAGGGAAGAGTAAAGGAGAGTGATGGAAACACGACTGGGACAGATCTTTCCTTGCATGAGGATAAATATTAAGGACAATGTGGTTGGAAGTACATTTTTAAGTTTTAGTAAAAGGAGATAGTTAATTGTATAATATACTCTCTTAATGTTTTCCCTTTAGGGTCGAGAAGAAGATCCACATGAAGGCAAAATGTAAGTTTGTGTTAATTTTAAAGGAAAAAATATAGTAAACCTACTGATTACAAAGCTAAATGTTTTCTCAATATACTTAATTTTTTTAATTTGGTCCAGAGAAGATCTAAATATTTTCTTAGGGACTTTGATAAAGTCTTATTTTTAAAACCAAGAGTGGTGACCTACATTTGGATTGGTGTACAGAAATGTTTCACCCAACTGAAGACTTTCTGATAAATATTACATGAATAACATTATTGTTACAATTTCTCATATTTTCTTTTATTGTAAGCACATCTTTAATAAATTTTACAGTTCAGGTTTTTGTTGTCAACTGTCATGTCATTTACATTTACAACAATGCCACAATCATTTTTTGAAATGATGTTTTTATTTTTTAAAATAAAGATTTTTAAAAATTTTCTTGAAAGAGTTAGAGAAAGAGACAGAGACATAGAGATCTTCCATCCACTGTCTCAGTCTCCAGATGGCTGACAGCCAGGGTTAGGCAGGCCAAAACCAGGAGCCTGGAATGTCCCCCATGGGGTTCAAGGCCCCACTTACTTGGGCACCCTGGCAGGGAGCTGCATCAGAACAGCGCATCCGGGGCTCCAGCCAGCACCCATGTAGGATGTAGATGCCACATGCTGGGCCCTAACTCCTTAGTTTAAGAAGACAAAAGATAAAGTATGTTAGTAGTTTAATAGGTACTGCTTCAAACAAAAAATGAACACTGTCCTTTTCCTTGAGTTTGTCAGGTTGGTATAGTTCCATGCTCATCACTCAGTCTACTCTCAGGTTTTTTTTTTTTTTAAGATTTATTTATTTTTATTACAAAGTCAGATATACAGAGAGGAGGAGAGACAGAGAGGAAGATCTTCCGTCTGATGATTCACTCCCCAAGTGAGCGCAACGGCTGGTGCTGTGCCAATCTGAAGTTGGGAACCAGGAACCTCTTCCGGGTCTCCCACACAGGTGCAGGGTCCCAAAGCTTTCCCAGGCCACAAGCAGGGAGCTGGATGGGAAGTGGAGCTGCTGGGATTAGAACCGGCGCCCATATGGGATTCCAGCCTGGGTTCAAGGCAAGGACTTAAGCTGCTAGGTCACCACGCTGCCAGGCCCTACTCTCAGGTTTTCATAGAGAATGCATAAGCCTCATGATTTCATTTGAGAAGACGACTTCCTATATGGCATAGGAAATTGTTTTGAGAGCAATATGAAAAATGAATTTGTCACTTTACAAGGAAGTGGGCTTACCTTCACTTGCCTTTGTACTCTCTGCCCCCACCCATACTGCCTCTCAACTGAAAAATGAAAAAGAGCCAGCTATGAAGCAAATCAGGATCAAAATTGTTGCCATTTTTACTCATAATTGCTATGAAAATTGTAGCTTGTATTCATTCCTAATGTTTTACACTTTGTTGCAATTGAGTATGTTTACTAATTGTAACAAGCTACAGCAATCGGATAATTTGATCAGTTGTATTTTCAGTTTGGATTTGTTGCTTAGTTTTGATCTTAAGGTAACAGCAAAACAGCTTTTGATTTCTATATGTATTAATTTGCTCTCTTTTTAAGATGGTTCCACGGGAAGATTTCCAAACAAGAAGCTTATAATTTACTAATGACAGGTACGTACTTCTACTTTTTCCAATGTCTTCATTTTAAAGAGTAAAAAAGTTAAACATTTATCGTGCTGTTTTGCCTTTACTCTTCAGTTAACGTTCATGGATATTTTAATGTCTTACAGAGTTCTCAGAAGTTGGTGTTTTAGAGTATAGTTGAAACAAACCTGTTATAAAACAAAGGGGTGCTGCCTTGGCTACCTTGTCCCCTTGGTCTCTCGTTTCTTCTGCGTGTTTGTGCACGTTTTCTGTCTGCGTTTCTCGCGGCACGTGCCCAGGATGGCACCGTGCACTGCGTTTGTTAGTGTATGTAGTGGGAATCGCTGCATATGTGCAGGTAGAAAGTTTCATTTGTTCTCTTTAATGGCGATAAACACTCCAACTAAACTAACCTAGCGCCTCTTGGAGATATATTGTGTCGTTTTTATCCTTCGTCCAGTTAACTGTAGCAAACTAACATTCTCAAATTTGTCTTTGTGAACTGGCGGAATTATATAATTGGATGTTACTTAGAATCTATTAATTTCCATGTTTGCCAAAATTTGTGGTTATAGAGAAAAGTGAAAATTGGCTGCTATTGTATGTTACTTTAAACAAAAAGCCATTCTAAAACAAAAAGTCATATATTCTAACTAAGTATTTGGGCTGATTTAAGCACCACATAGTTTTTTAGTTAACTGTTATCTTACAAAAGTTTGAGCCAAGTTTAATTTGTAATGTGTAGCTCAAGACTCTTAGTTTTTGAAAGATGACTATTTAAAAATTTCTCTGTTCAGTAAAATAAATTCTGATGATGACAAGCCCAGGTGAGATCTGCGTGTTTGTCTCAGAGCAAAGGGCACTGTGCTTTAACACTTCACTCTTCCAGAGGATTAGAAGTGGTTTTTTAAGTGCTTAATTTTACTAAGCTATGTTAAATAGTTTTAAAAGCTAGAACATGGTAATTCAATATGGTAGTAGCAGAGACCAATTGTTAAACCAGAAATACAGCTTAGGAAATGGGAACAAAAGTGTGCATTTTAGTGACTTTGCTGAATTTTGGAAATTAGTTTAATTTTGAAACTTGTTGCTTTGGGTAGTCGAGTCATGCACTCTTGCTGTAGACATGTAAAGTTGAAAGAGGCTATCCTTCAGTTTTTTCCATTTATTTTCTTTTGGTCACAAGCCATTTTGAAAATCTACTAGTAGGTTTTTTCTTCCCTGAAAAATATACATAAGCATTTTTATATATAATTTTAGGTATAATTCCTGTTTTCCATTATACAAGAAATATGGTTTATTCTTTCAGCTTAGAAACAGATTCCTTTTATTCTAATTAACTTAAAACTTTTACAGCTTTTGTTTCCACTGTGTTTTCAGCTTTGAAGGTTGTTGTTTTTTAAAATTATTGTTATTGAAAACGTGTATATACATATATAGAGAGAGAAGGAGGGACAAAGAGAAAGATCTGTCTGCTGTTTCACTCCCCATGTGGCCACAGTGGCTGGAGCTGAGCCAATCCTGAGAACCCAGGAACTTCTGGGGTCTCCTCTGTGGGTGGGTACAGGGTCCCGAGGCTCTGGGCCATCCTCAGCTGCTTTCCCAGGCCACAAGCAGGGAGCTGGATGGAAAGCCGGGAAGCCGGGAAGCCGGGACATGAACCAGCACCCAAGTAGGATCCTGACGGTGCATGCAAGGCGAGGACTTTAGCCATGAGGCTACTGCACTGGACCCTGAAATACTTAATGTGAAAATATTTATGATAATTTGCTTCTGCATTTCTTTATAGGATTGGGGCTGTTGTGTGAAATATAGTACATGAACACTGATTTTGATAATTCCACAAATATCTTAGTCTACCTTTGTAAACTTTATATTTTTATTAGTCATTACTTTAAACTTAACTGAAAACACTGATTGGTCTGTCCTAAACAGAACTGATTTTAATTTTTAGAATCTTATTAAGGAAATTACTAGCAGAATAAAACAGTTTTAGCAATATATGCTAGCCGCAGTGTTTATTCTTCCTAATTTATGACAAATATAGACATTGTTGAGCAGAATTAATTGCTGTAAAATTTCTGCTTTGCATGTTTATGTCATTAAGCTGGTAAGACAGAGAAACAGAATGAATACTTGCAAATCCCAAATTAGAAAATACAGATCTTGTCTTAGAAGACAAAAAGTTATTGGTGAAAATTTCCGTGTTTATTTTGTGTGCTTTTTTTATTACACTGTTTAACTCCCTTTCTTTTTAACTTTATAATTAGGAAATAAAACTAACAGCTTAATTTTTACAGTTGGCCAAGTCTGCAGTTTTCTTGTGAGGCCCTCAGATAATACTCCTGGGGATTATTCACTTTATTTTCGGACCAATGAAAACATTCAACGATTTAAAATATGCCCAACACCAAATAATCAGTTTATGATGGGAGGTCGATATTACAACAGGTAAGTCATGAGAATGTTTAGTTACCTTTTGTCAAATAATTGAGATGTTTGGTTCTATATTACATTGGATTTACATCTATATTGAAAGTTCCTAGCTTCTTAAAAGTATAACATTTAATGTAATTAATGATAGCCATGTCTATGAATTTGCTAATGACAAACATCAAAGTTTATGTAATTTTAGAAATTGTATATGCTGATTAAACACATGCTAGTAAAATGACCTTAACCATTGTTTCACAACGTTGATCTTCAGCGTTCTTAAAGTGTATTGTATGTGAAATAATAGTAAACTTCTTTCTTAAGAAAGATTAAATTTTGTTCTGATGCTGTCAAAATGGCCTTTTTTTAGTTCTTGAAACAAAGACTTCCGCTTCAACATTAATGTTAGTAATAGTTTAGTAGTAATTCCCAGGAAAGATGTACTTTTGTGATTGTTATTATTTATATACATTTATGGAAAATAAGATTACTCAGTATATCTAATGCTGCCATTCTTTGCTGTCATAGCCCATTTCCTCCTGCTTCTCCACCATCCTTCCCTGCTGTCACCTGATGTCCTGTCTTTTCCTACCTAAGTGCATCTGATACAACAACGTGGAAACGTTCCAAAACAAGCATTAGTTTACCTGAATTTTGCTTCGTAAATAAATGTGATTTTTTTTTTTTTTTTTTTTTACTATTTCATCTCAGGATCTCAGAAATGCTCTTATGTCAAAAGGAAAAAAAAAAGGGTAGACTGCAAATAATTTTTACAGTTTATGATGACTCTTTATTCTTCTAAAATAACATGACTCACATTCACTTTTTCTGTTTATGTTCACATTATTTGCCTTAAAAAAAACCCTGATGATCTTGGTAACAGGATTTATGTATTTTTATATATTGCAGTTTTGTAAGATTATGTCAATATAGTAATTTTCATTTTAACAGCATTGGGGACATCATAGATCATTATCGAAAAGAACAGATTGTTGAAGGGTATTATCTAAAGGACCCTGTGCCAATGCAGGTCAGTGTTTTGGCTTTTTTCACAATTAAAAATCTTTAGTTTTAAAATCCACTCTGATGGTTGCTGTGTTTACTCATGTAATTAGAATTGAATAAAAATTAAAGCTTCAGATTATTCGGGTTATTTCAGAATAATAATTGTAAGAGAATCTCTTAGTGTTTGTATATGTTGATTCTAGATAATTAGCAGTCTTTGGTGGCTTTTTGAGAATAAACAGTATTGCCAAGTTGCACTAAGTCAAGGAATGAGTTTGCTGGAGGCAAAATTGGAAGAAACAGGGATAAATCACAGCCAAGCTTATCTAGGTAAGCTTGGTAAGTAAAGAAAAAAATAAACATAATTATAGATGAGGATTAGGGCCAAAAGAATTTTAAACTATGTTTTGTTTTTCCCTTTAGTTGCCTATAGTAGTGTGATTGAGAGTTTGATCATGCGTGCATCCTTTGACTAAAGTTTGGCAAAAAGCCGAGTGGTCGTGGGATGGGGTGGAGGGGCAGGGAGATGGATGGCCGCACTCTCACATGTACAGATTCTGGAGAGAACACGAAGTGAATGCAGTCCAGGTCGGAAGAGAAATTGACTGGCCTTTGTTTCCTTTTCATCGTGTATGGAGTTGTCGGGGAGCAGGCAGTGGGAATTAGAAAAGGGGATTAAGGCTGTTCCCATGTAGGAAATGAAGGTGTTGATATCTCAGGTGTATAGGGAATCATCCAAGAGGTTTTTGGTACCCAGTTAAAGTTGTATGATGATGTCTTTAATGTCTCTAGTGTCTTAATTTTTTTTGTCCTCTTTACAAGTTTTTTTTTTTTTTTGGTGGTTATATGTATAGTCTGTTGCAGTGACTGAAGGGAAAAATCATTCTGAAACTGAACATGAATTCAAGAATCATCACAATTCTGTCACATTTTTAGTGTCTTAATTTTCTCATGCTTTTTTAGTAGAACGTAAGGCATGTGAACAGAGGTTTTGCTTCCTTTGGGCTGTTTCCTCCCCATGCTTGAAATAGTACCTGACATTAAGTCTTTAGTAGATGTTAATTGAATGAATAACTGCTCTCCAGCAGAACGCACCTACCATATCCTGCCTGTGTTGTGTTATATTGCAGTGTGAACTTTTCTCTTTGTCAGTCTCTGTGGAAATTCTCAGTTAAAAATCATCCCAACTTTCACTTTCTGGTTGACAACCTCTTAATAACTAGTCAACACAAATCAGCCATTTTTGTTGGTAGTTCTGATCTGTAAAACATGGTAAAAGCAACAATATAAGGTAGTATTCACTTTCTAGAAGGGTGTTTTTTATTAGGAGTCAGAAGAGCCTTTACCTCCATATAGATTGTATCAGAATACCACTGTTACATTCCTAATTCAATGGCTGTTTGAGTTAGTGAAAGTTTTGTTCCTAAGTTCATTAATATTTTCAACAAACTAATTTGAAAATTTTCCTATCCTGAATTTCTGCTTATAATTTTACAATTTAGTTTTTGTAGTTACAGAAATCAATTGCATGTTTTTAACGTTTTAGTTTTATATAAAGAGGACAAATTCCATGCTTCGTGTTTGCATCTTTAAGAAGATAATGCTTTGCAGCCTACTCTCTTTCACGTTCCCATCCTTCACCTCCTTTTAATTTTGTAATACACTTTCCGTTTACTTTAGAATCAGAAGCGCCATCTTCTACTAAATGAAGAACTCAAGTATAAAGTGAAGAACTGTTCCTCAGGAGTATAGACTATAGCTATAAACACAAGTTTCCAAATATCAGTCTAATTCATTTATGTTACTTTTTCTTGTACACTGTTAGACACAACAGATCAGAGAAAACATAGTTGTCTTTTGGAACTAATTTATTTCACTAATGGTAGTTGCATGTATTTTGTTGTGAAAGACAATAGAAAAGTTTCATTCTTCTAAGTGGTGTTCCATCATGCTTATATACCACACTTTGTTTACCCAGTAGTAACTTGATGGCATCTGGGTTGATTCCATATCTTAGCAATAGAGGATTGAGAGTTATTTCTTTTGGGTAGTTTCCCAAGCATAGGATGACTTCTAGGCCATGGTAGATAAATTTTCAGGTTTCTGGTTGTACTACTTTGTTCCCATAGCATGTATTAGAGTGCCCCTTGTTTCACATTCTTAACATTTGTTATAGTTTGATTTTTGGATGATAGTGCAAAAATCACACACACATACACATAGAGGTGTGTCTGTGTGCTGGTTCACTCCCCAAATGCTGGCAACAGCAGAATTGGGCCAGGCTGGAGACAAGGAACCTGGAACTCCATCTAGGTGATCCATGTGATCCAAGATTTTGTGCTACTGTCTGGAATGCTGCCTTCCAGGGAGTACATTAGCAAGATGCTGGCATTGGGATCAGAACTAGGACTCAAAGCCAGGCCCCCAGGATGGAGTGACGGCATGCCTAGTGACGTCCTAGCCTCTATGCTACATGCCTATCCTTGCAATGAAATATTAAGTGTTATAAGGTCACATTGAGAATGACCTAAATACTTAGTGTACCTCAGTCTTTCGTTGTTTCGAAGCTGAAATGAATTTCAGAATGTTGCCCTTTGCAGTTGTGCCTTAAAATGCATTGAATACCTAAAAATTACAGCTAATACTAATTATAAAACCATTTGTTTATTGCACAGAAAGTGTCATAGGAGAAGTTTAGAGAGTTAAAAACACTTACTGTTCTTCCAGTAGCATTCCACTCTGCTCTATTAGGGAAGAGACGAGCTGACTGTCTAGCAAAATAACATCAGTCCTGTGAGGTGACTTTAGTGTCCGCGGAGTCCCAGCAGTGTCAGCTTACCGCTGCACACAAATATTTGAGAAAACCTGTAGACAGCAAGGATTCTCTGCAAACCACACACCTCAATAGAAACAGTTCGCATTTTTCTGTACTATAAATTATTCACTTTAAAAGTACAGTAATCTTTTCTCTCAGCTTAATGAGGTTGACATTAGGACTGTTAGTGTTTGGGTGAAAGACCAAAATGGTGGAGTAAATGCCTTTAGGCATTAAGTAATCCCTGGCTGGACTCCTCTCTTCTTTATTCCCCCACCTTCTCACCTCCTTCTCTCACTCTAAATTGCATCTGGAATTTTAAGTCCCTCTTCTTCAGAATATATCTGCATATCGGGAATGTGAGTGAAGCTGACTCATCTCCATGCGTCTTCAGTTTGCCCGTTACACCTCACAGCTATAAGAGGGTTCCCTTTGAAATGAGTCAAATCATGTCCTTCCTGTTGAACCTTGGAAGATGTTCCAGATTTCATTCAGAGGAAAATGGAGTCTTTACAGTGGCAGTTATGTTAGTTATAGGAACTCTATCTGCTATTCCCCTCACTAAGCTTTTTTGCATTTGCTTTCGTGCTATTATTTGAAAAATGTGCTGGGTTCTTTTCATCTTTAGCATCTTTGCTATGTTTCTTAGGTTGGCTCAACATGATTTGCTCCTGACTATCTGTTTATCTGTCTTCAAGTTTTTGTGATTTTGTTCCCAAGTTAAATTCACAGTGTAAGTTAACTCTAGACACCTTACCTAAGACTGCAACATTCTGCTGCTTGAAAGGGGCTTAACCACCTTAGAACATTCAGTACAATTTATTTACTTTATCATTTCATTCCCTGGCATGAATATGGGCATACTCTAAAAGTCTAGGCAGTCTGGACTTAAAAGATAAGCTTTCACTGGTTTGTAAGTATTTAGAATCTATATATGATGTTGCATTAGGTTTTCCACGAACTTTTTGAAGAGCCCTTGTGTGAGTTCCATGAGGATCTGATTTGTTAACTGATGAATCGCAAGAGCTAGAACAAAGCCTGGCACTCGGAAAACATTTAATGAGTAAATTTATTACATGGAGTTTTTGTAGCCATAGCTTATAGTGAAGTTGGGCTTCAAGGGCCTAAATACCTGCTTTACTGAGAAAACTGCTTCGGCCTCTCACCAGATGGCCTAATTGCCTTGGAGAGGCATAGTTAAAAACCAAGGCCTCCCCATTCAGAACTGATGTTGAAGACAGGGAAGTTAAGGAATGTAGAAAAGAAATGGTCCCCACTATCTCACAATGATTTACTAACACTTGGAAAGTAAAGATACCTTCTTATGTATATTTTCTAATACATTGGAACATTTGAGTGTTTAAGGTCAGCATAACAGTTCTGCCTTAATGTTATTTTCTAAAGAGCTCTATATGTTGTCTTGAAACATTTAAACTTTAAAATACTGGTTTTGTAATCTATTTTAAGGGACAGACTACAAACATGTTCCATTCTACAACTGGTACTATCTACCATCTTTGAAAAGATGTCTGATTAACAAGTTTGCACTGTCAGCATCTGGATCCAATCCAGTGGCTTTTAGTTTTTTATCCTCTTAGGTCATTTTACATATAACTTACAGAAAAATAAAGGACTAACCCCAAAACAACTTCATTAGAAAATGTAATCAGAACTTAAATATAGCAAGTTTTGTTTCCCATTTTCTGGTACAGTCTTCCGTCCGTGAGGTGCTCGTACCTGGGAACTCTCCCCAGATAAATGCTGCCTGTAGGGTTTAGTCATTTCTCTCATGCCTATGCGTGCTCGGTTTTTCTTGCTTGTTATCAAATTGCAACTCCAAATTTAAGTCACTACTGGATTCTAGGTTACAAGTCTGTCCTTGTATTATTAGAATGCAGTACTTTGGAAAACTCCAAGGACTCATGATTTTGTTGGAGATTATAGTCTTCCTGAGTCCATAAGCAGCAACTATTTTTGCTTGGATTTGTAGAATTCTACTATTGTCAATTTTGTGAATTTTTAAGTTATCTACATTATGCATTCCTTTACTCAACTTTTATAACAAGCACAATGAACTTATGACTAGATACAAATCATATTAAGTAAATTTCGATCTAGCTCCCCTAAATTTAAGGAATGGTGATTTATGAATGGCCAACTTAATGAGATTGCTATATCCTGTATTTCTCTTGGAAATAGTATGGTTCATTCAGTGATTGTTGAATTTAGAGATTGAGTACATCACCAGCTGAAGTGTTACAGCCTGAGATTTTGCTTGTGAAAATCAGTTTTTCCATCACAATAGAATCCAGAGTGCTGTTCTTTTTTCCATTTGTCTTCTGATTTTTCTAGTAATTGTCAAACATCTTCCTCAGTATTTTCACTAGTGTCAGCGTAAAACCAAGAGTTTAATTCTCAACTGTTCTATCAAAGCTAATACAACAAAGATGGCTTTTTATTTTTTTCTAAGGTGTGGCATTACTTGGTAACAGTAAAAATGTGAAGTAGTGATGCAGTAGAGATAATTTATTCGTTGTGGAATTACATGTCAGGCTACGAGTTGGCAAAATTTTTCTGTAAAGGGCTAGACAGTAAAAGTTTTGTGTTGTGCGGTCCTTTCAGTCACCATCTCAACTATTGAATTTTGCCTGTGTAGTTGAAAGCAACCCAGACAATATGTAAATAAAACTTTATGTACGAAACAGGTACTGGACTAAAAGTCATAAAATGTAATCCTTGTACATACTGAGAACTCAAACTAAAAAAACAGGATTAAGTGCAGTGGATCCTGAAAATAAAACTGAAGATAGATTCTGGGAAGGCCCTCTTTATAGTTTACCTGACATTTTTTGTTATTGTTAAAGATTTGTTTTTATTTGAAAGGCAACCTTAAGGAGATAGAAGGAGAACAGAAGGAGAAGGTTCTCCATCAGATGGTTCACTCCCCAAATGGTCATCAGTGTTCCAAGGAGTTGGGTTTTCCTCCATTGCTGTCATAGGTCAGAAGCGGAGAGCTGGATCAGAAGTGGAGGAGCTGGATAGAGACTAACGCTCGGTGGGATGCTGGCCACAGGGAGGAGGATTAGTGTGCTGCTCCACCATGTGGCCCCCTGACATTTTGAAGGTTTTAGCTACTAATGTTAGCTCTGTTACAACATAAAGTATGCATTGCTTTTTTAAGATTTATTTTTGTTGGAGTGTGAGATTTACAGAGAGAAGAAACAGAGAAAAATGTTCTATCGGCTAGTTCACTCCCCAAGTGTTCACAACAGCCGGAGCTGAGCTGACCTGAAGCCAGGAGTCAGGAGCTTATTCCCAGTATCCCACGCAGATGCAGGGTCCCAAGGCTTTGGGTCATCTTTGACTGCTTTTGCAGGGAGGTGGATGGGAAGCTGGGCTGCTGGAACATGAACCAGTGCCCAAAAGGGGTCCTACCACATGCTAGGTGAGGACTCTAGCCACTAGGCTACTGTGCCAGGCCCATCCCCCCCCCCTTTTTTTAAAGATTATTTTTTATTGAAAAGACAGATTTACAGAGACGAAGATAAAGATGTGGCATTCACTGGTTTACTCCCCAAATGGCTTAAACAGTTGGAGCTGAGCCCATCTGAATTCAGGAGTCTCTTCCAGGTCTCCCATGTCGGTGCAGGGGCTCAGATAGAGCCATGCTTTACTGCTGTCCCAGGCCCTTAGTCAGGAACTCGATGGGAAATGGAGCAGCTGGGCCATGAACCAGTTCAGAGTAGGATGCAGGCACATGCAGGTAGAGGGATTAGCCTATTAAAAATGAGCATTTTCAAAGTCAAGCAAAAAAGGCAGGACCTTTGGGAGAGTTAAAACTTCACCCCTGACATACTTATAAAAGAATTGTACCATCATATTTGAATGCTGGTTACCGCACACGGTAAATACCCGGATGAGCTGCTAGGCCTCTCTTCTGTTTGGGTTTTGAATCTTTCCACATGTCTCAGTCCAGCTGGGTACACTTTTTATGTTCACTGTTTCCAGTTAAGATAGGACAGACTTATGTTTTTAAAATTAAATTAGTTGCGGTAAAATATACCAAAGCAAACTTTAGAATACATTGCATGTTCTAGAGAAATGGTAAAAAAAATCTTTGAGAAGATATTTGAAAGTAAACACTTAAAAATTTGTTATTGTATGTCTAGATTTAGTATTGCATGTATTCTATGTGGTCTTTAGCCAGCAAATTTTTAAATTGATAATTTTCCTTAATACTGAAGATTTATTCCAAAAGGATACTTTATTCTAAAATCAGGATCTTGAAGATTTTATCATAATGAAATCTTAGACCTTTGCTGCATTTCCATCAAGAATTCATAAAATAATTGTAATATTTTTGGAAATTCAGGATCAAGAGCAAGTACTCAACGATTCAGTTGATGGCAAGGAAATCTATAACACAATTCGTCGTAAAACAAAAGATGCCTTTTATAAAAATATTGTTAAGAAGGGTTACCTTCTGAAAAAGGGTGAGTAAGCCTTAAAGGTCAGAATTCAGTTTAATTCTTTTCCTAATGGCCTAGTTGATATAGAGTAACATGGTTTAATAGTTGCTGAGAAGTTTTTAGAGCTTACGTCTTCATATCCACTATCCACATGAAGTCCTCCCTTCCTGCAGAATTGTAGCAGAGTAAGCTTGCCGCTGACAGGTGTGCTCTGGAGCGTGCTGGGCGTCCGGATTGATTGATCGCCTTCTCTCCCTGTGCTGCCCCGCCCCCTACAGCAACCAGCACCTTCATGCTGTTGAAGTTTTCATAGATTTTCTTGAATTTGACATGTTAGAAAGTTAGGTGGGTGTTGATTAGAATAATTTTTTCCTTGAAGACCTGAATGACTCCAAGATGAATATTTGAATATTTTGATTATAGTGAAATCTCTGATAAAGGTATCATTAATTGTTGGAACTGATTAAAGTGGTAAAATGCATTTTTCTACAAATATGTTTTCATTACACAATATTTGGCACATTGATTAAGCTTGGAAATAAAAATTGAAGTACATACTTTTGGTAAGCAGTTTTTATGATTCTAACATATATGCTCACAGCTTATTGGTTAAAAGAAAAGGTGTTTTTTTTTTTTTAAACAGGAAAAGGAAAACGTTGGAAAAATTTATATTTTATTTTAGAGGGCAGTGATGCCCAACTTATTTATTTTGAAAGTGAAAAGCGAGCTACAAAACCAAAAGGATTAATAGACCTCAGTGTATGTTCGGTCTATGTTGTTCATGATAGTCTCTTCGGAAGGTAAGAAATTCATTCTATTCATTCTTTTTCTTTGAATTTTTAAAACAAAAATAATGTTCAGATTATTTCAGCTGATGGTGGATCAATTAGAGAAACCTAATATCATCTTCTAGAAATTTCAGATCTAAACGTAATTTTTGTGCATAAAATCCTTTGCTAAACTATAAAGTCTGCAGAATGCCGTGTCGTGTGGTGACCAGAGCCTGTCTCGCCGTTCCCTCCCTGTCCTCACCAAGTTTTGCAGTGACCTACTTCGGAGTCTTTCCACCTTTTCCTAATTTCATCACATTCTCCTGTTATGGTAATAGGCACACTGAGTTACACTATAAACCCTATGTAGCATGTTCCCAAGAAACTCGACTTTCAAAAGCAGTGATAATATGAAGATGAGAATATTTCAAATTTGAAGTACACATTTTTATCTTAAATTGAGCTCAGTCCTGAAAGTCCTAAGACAGTCACATTTTTGGTTCAGGCTTTCTTTAATAGTAATTTTCCACTTAGAATTTTTTCCATAATTACCTTTTATCCTAATCTATTAAAATGCAGATGTAATATTCCCCTTCCATATGTGCTTGTCACAAATGTAATATGAAAAAGTGGCCCTAAAATGAGTCTTGGAAGAGGGGTGTGAACATATCTGTATAGTTGATCAGAGCTTCCCAGACAGTGTGCCCTGCTTGTAGGTGTGCCTTGAGATGCTGATTCTTCTAAAATGCTGCAGAATTGCAACCGTTATTTAACATAATAAAAATATTTGCAAGGTTAGTTGGGAAGACAGCACATCTTTAAAAAGATATTTTACTATCTAATATTGAATTTGTGTACCAAATTATTTATAGTGCTTTACCACTGTTAGGTAATTACATTTGTTATATTTTGTTATCAGGGTATTTCTGGTCTTTTTCCAAGGGAATGCAAAAAAAAAAAGTAGATTAGTATATTTTGCCTCAATTTCATTTGTAACTTCTCTGTAATATCTTTTAAAATCAATATGTGCAATGCTTTGTAAAATTTATACTTTGATACAGTGGTAAGGTTTCAGTAATGCAGCCATGAAATTTTCTAGGATGTATGCAGCTAACATCTTACAATGTAACATGCAACAAAAAGGGTTTTCACTAAAAATTAGGATAGTTTTACATAAATTATGTATAATGATTGTTTTAAAGATTAGGGTAAGTGTTTTGATATTTTGATAAGCTCCTTTATAACTGTCTTGTTATTTTATAGGCCAAACTGTTTTCAGATAGTGGTTCAGCACTTTAGTGAAGAACATTACATATTTTACTTTGCAGGAGAAACTCCAGAACAAGCTGAGGTAAGATAAACTACTGTAAACCCATGTTTTACAGCTAGAATAGAAAAATGTTGTATTAAAAATAGACGTAAAAGGTTGCCTAAAAACTTTTAATTTTTAACAAATGAGAACTTTTTTTGTATAAAGGAAGAAATGCAGAAACACACTGAACAAAAACTCCATTTTAAACAGCCTTTAAATCTTGAATGAGGTGGAGTTCCGTGAGAATGCACGTTTGAAATCCTGTCTGTGGGCAGACCCTTGGTAGATACTCTCAGTACACGTTCAAGCGAAGTCAGGGTTGTGAAAAACCATTGTCATTTTTTAGTAGTTGAATCTCATGTTCAACAATTAAAGCTCTCAGTCATCAAGAGGAAAAATATCTTAGGAATTTTGTATAAACTTTATCCTCCACCCCTCCCCCAACTCTTCTGTACTTGTAACAGCCTTTTAAAGCAAAATGATGTGGGCACTGAATGTCCCTTCAAACATGTAAGTTTTGATTTAGTGATTCCTCTGCTATCAGTTGATCTGTGTGCAATTTATAACTTAGATCAAATAATTCTGTGAATGAAATGTTTTAAAAATGTTTTCTTTCAATCATAATTTTGTAGTTCTTGGTTATATTTTGTGCAAAATGGATACATTTCTGCTTCTACTCAGAATGTTCTTTAAAGGGTTAAGAGGAGCAAGGAAGTGGCTTTGCTGCAAAAAAACGTAATTTCCAAATCCTTGATCCTGAGGCAGGTGCTGTTAGGATTTTGCATCTTACTGCTGACCTGATGAATACGCCATTGTATTATTAGGCTCATAATTCAGTGTCATATCTCTGGTTTCCATAAAGCATCTCAGATATTTCATACATAATATACATACAGCTTTGTTTTGTAGAAACTTGTTTTTTTTTTTCCCCCTCATTTTTAGATGAGAGAAGGCAGGCTTGTAACACTGGACCAGAATATTGTTTTAAATGTTAGGGAAAAAAAAAATAGAAATTTAAGCTTCAGTCTCCTTTTATTTTACACTATTACTTATGTTCAAATAAGAATATCACACTTCATGACGTCTCACAGTGTTTTTGCTAGTCTGACTTAGGACATCTTCTGATTTCTACTTCCTTTTGGTTTTATTGGCATTTCCAATTTTCATTGATTTTTGGTGTGCTTTGTGCTTTCTCTTCAGTTTCTATAAGCTATGCTAATTTAATTTGCTGTGCTACAAGCACAGTTCAGATTTATAGAAACGTCAAGAAACTAAAGATGTAATTATAAAGCAGTAGTATGGAACCTTCCAGAAACCTGTAAGACAAAGTGAATATTAGATTTTTTAAAAGGCTGAATTGCTTGCTTGCTTCTCCAGAGCACTTAAACAACTAGAGTGTTAGGCTGACATTATGTCTTAAATCCTAGGTTTTAACATTCTTACCTCATGCCTGTCTTCAACTCAGACATCACATTACCAGTTGGTTTTGTAGTCTGCCCTGCACTCTGTTCAGTGTTGAGGTTCTGCTCCGCTGCAGTCGGCCTGAAGCGCTGTAACCTCAGCTGGTGGGTAGGGCTTGCACCCAGAGGGTGCTTGGTACAGTTTCTTCATCTTCATTTAGCAGCTAATTCGTGGCTAGTCATTGAGATTCTTACTCGTTCAAGGAACTTTTAAAATTATTTTCACTATTACTTTATGCAGCACAATAAAACATGTGTTGCCAGAAAAGAAAATGATAGTGTAGGGAAGGAAAAAACTATTGATTTGGAGAAAGAAAAATTGATGATTGGAAACCAGATAGATTTTTAATACCATGATATTTTTTTGTAGGACTGGATGAAAGGTCTGCAGGCATTTTGCAATTTACGAAAAAGTAGTCCAGGAGCATCTAATAAACGTCTTCGTCAGGTGAAACTTCACTTTAATTTCTTTATTGTCACACTATATGCTACCACTTTTTGTTTTTTGAGCTATTTTGAACATTTCTGGGAAAAATGTTATCAAACTTTGTAAAGTCAGAGAATTTCTATTACACTTTGTTTTTTGTGTGTAATACCAACTTTTGAAGAACTACAGAACACTGTTGTTCCTCCACTTATAATATCAAGCCCAAAATAGCAGAAAAATATTCTGTGGGCATTTACTTCGAACTAAAGGTGCTTTTTGGAAAGGTCATCTGATTTATACAGTACTAATCCCAATGAACTTTTGGGGGGTTTGCTTCTGTGTTGTTAGTCTGAAACCTACTACGTATGACTTCTACATAGTATTGCATCTTAGTAGGCAACTTACCATGCCCTAGATTTTGTGTGAAGTTAGAACTAGGCTTGCTTTTTTCTTTCTGTAGGTATATGAGGATGACTTTATAACCTTATTTCTTGGCTTATTTTTCTATTTATAATAACCACTAGATTATTATAATCAGGCAGATTTCAAAATTTGTGCAGTTTTGAGAAAAGTATAGTGTAGCATGGTGTATTTCTATTGACCAAAGTGACTTGCGTTATTCACGAGCATTTCTAATTGAACAATATAACATGGTGTTTACTGCGAGTAGACAGTGGTTAAAATTTAACTAGTCCCTGTAGCCAAAAACCTGGCCCTTCCTCCTCAGGATTTAAATTATGCATAGACACCAGGTATACTTGCACCTGTCACCTCCTAGTGTCCTGTGTGTGCCAGATGCTCTGCTGCACAGTGCGCGTGTTTCCGTCTGCAGCGTAGACTTCATTCTGAGGGCAGAATCTAGGTTTAAATTAAATTTTTTTGGAAACATACAGCAATAAAATCTTCTGGATAAATGTTAGTATTTCATCCAGGATTCTTAGTGGTAGTTTTTTCACTGGAGAAATCTCTTCTTAGCTTCACTTCTTATTGTTTTATGATAGAAAAGGTATATTTCATTATGTCTGCTAGAACACAAAAGGAGTAACTTGCAAAATAGAATTGTTTTAAATCAGAATTTTTTTACATGATCTCATTGTAAGTAACAATAAGGGGGAAAATGTAATCAAAACTCTTGATTTTCTGAAAAGAAAGGATAAAGCAAGTTATTTGGAGGTTTTGTTTTATAGTGATAGCTTTTGAATTCTGCATACTTCTTGATATCTGGAGAAACAATTTTTGTGTTTGTGTGTTGGTGGTTTATTTATTTATTTTCTCTTTAGGTCAGCAGTCTTGTTTTACATATCGAAGAGGCCCATAAACTCCCAGTAAAACACTTTACTAATCCATATTGTAACATCTATCTGAATAGTGTGCAAGTAGCAAAAACTCATGCGAGGGAAGGACAAAACCCAGTGTGGTCAGAGGAGTTTGTGTTTGAGTAAGTCCTTTAATCACATTGCATTCTTTTCTGGTTCTTTCTGTCTACACTTTTAGAACCAAGGTGTCACGTCTAGGTATTTTCATTACACATAATTTGTCCTCAGTTATACGTTTACCTTTCTTAGTAATCCATGCCCTTTGCTTTTCACCTAGTTACCAGAATGGCTTAGCATTGCTTCAAAGCCCAAGATACATTTTCTAATGCACAATGTGTTTATATTAGGGTTTCCAGATTTGAATAAATGATCAGTAGTTCACAAGTTTAAAGCTGATGGTAAAGGTAGTAACTTGCTTGTTTGGATTTGTTTATTTTACCAAAAACAAACAACAACAACAAAAAAAAAACAACAAAAAATGGTGAATCTAATTTTAAAGCCAGCACACTTTTCCCAGCATTGACAGGGGACTTAAGTAACTTAATGCCAGAACATTTTATTAATTCTTGTTCTTTCTTTTTTCTTTAGTGATCTTCCTCCTGACATCAATAGGTTTGAAATAACTCTTAGTAATAAGACAAAGAAAAGCAAAGACCCCGATATATGTAAGTTGACATAAAAATAAATAAAAAGAGGCATGTTTTAATATAGTTCCAAAGTTTGTAAGGAAGTATAGTCTTAACATAGCAATAATAATAAAAAAAAATACAAGCACTATAATTTGAGAGTTTCTTTCTTTCTGTACTTTTAAGAACAACCGACTGTCTAACCTCCCTTCCACAGTCATACAAATAACAAGAAAATAGCACTGTGGTCATCCTTGTGTAGGGCCTCTCTCAGTCCCTTCTTTCTGCTGCTTGGATTTTTCCTAGTTGCTTGTTTTAGAATGCAAATTAAAAGGTGATCTATTTAAACATTTCTTAAAACTACAATGGGCTATTAATTACCTTCCAATAGTCGAGTGCTCCCAGTTAAATTCTTGCTGTCAGCAGCATGCCTCTTCCTGTCCGCTGCTCACAGTGGGCAGTGGGATCAAGCAGCTCACAGCACTCAACTAGGTTAATGCCTTCTTAACACACATACACTGAGACCAAAGCTGAGTTTTTCTCCATAAATGTGCTTAATCTGTGTTTAATGTAATTTCTGTGTTATTTAAATGCTTAACATTGTTATTTTCTGATAAAACGCAAACCTCCAACTAATGACAAGGGAAGGGCATTCCTTCTGTCTAGACTGCCTTTTTTTGTCCATTTCCTTAGCTATATTTCCAGATCCTACAAATCTGCTCATGGGTTATTAATTTGGAATGGATTTCTACCCATCTAGGATGGATTAAATATTATTCCTCTCTATTCCAAAGGCATTAAAAGCACCTACATGTAACTTAGGTCTTGCTGCCTTAGCTGGTGGCATTCAGTGCCACAGGGGAGACTAGGGGACTGGGGAGAGTGTGCTGATGTAACTGACTGCTGTTATCTCAGACAGTGATCGTTTGTTTTTCTTTCCAAGTATTTATGCGTTGCCAGTTAAGCCGGTTACAGAAAGGGCATGCCACCGATGAATGGTTTTTGCTCAGCTCCCATATACCGTTAAAGGGTATTGAACCAGGATCTCTGCGTGTTCGAGCACGATATTCTATGGAAAAAATCATGCCAGAAGAAGAATACAGTGAATTTAAGGAGGTATTAAGCATTTATTGTTATATGTAAAATTATGGGGGAGAATTTTTAACAGAAATTAGAGTTAACACAAGGTCCATCACACTAAATGCTGTAGTTGTAAACATTACTGGCATACTAATACGGGAAAATTGCAGTAAGATAAATTTTGGTCTTAAAGGAATAGGAGACATGTACCCTTCAAGCTAATTCTATTTATTTGTTTTCAACAAAGATAGAGACAGGAATCTTCCATTTATTGATTTACTTCCCCAAATCCTTGTTAGGGCTGGGCTTGGCCAAAGCCGAGAGCTGGAACTCCATGTGGGTGTTCCGTGTGAGCCACCAGCTGCTGCCTCCCTGGGTGCCCAGCAACAGCACACTGGAGTGCACTGAGGAGTCAGGACAGAGCCAGGCATTCTAGATGGCATGCATGCATCCCAGCAAGTGACCGGATCGCTGTATCAAATGTATGCCCTTATTTAAAAATATTCCTAAGTTTTAAAGTTACAAAATGACATACTTCCCATTTTAGTGAGATTGCTTAATGCTGTAAGTACTTACAGTCTTCCTGATGTCATTTCTAGCTTATACTGCAGAAGGAGCTTCATGTAGTCTATGCATTATCGCATGTATGTGGACAAGACCGAACACTACTGGCTAGCATCTTACTGAAAATTTTTCTTCATGAAAAGCTTGAATCGTTGTTGTTGTGTACACTAAACGACAGAGAAATAAGCATGGAAGGTACAGTATTGCTGTGTTAGTGTGATACTTTTATTAAAAATTGAGTGTAGTATACTCCTACACCAAGAATGCATTAATTCTGTGTTTGAACTCATTAAAGTGAAATACTGCAAAATTATTTGTTCCAAATGAATGGACTAGCTGTGTTTCAGGCCAATCAGTTTATTTGTTTTGGGATTTTACTTTCAGAAGTTTAAAAATGACATTTAGGGTTATCTCTGAATTAGGTGGGCTGATGTTTCTAGTACAGGTTTTAATCATGGCAGATTAGCGGCCCATGCAGCCTAATTATTAAGAATAGCTGTGTGTACCATATTTGCTTTTTAGTTTTTTACATAGTGGTTACTGCCAACTGTTGTATTTCTGGCTTCTGACAGGTCCTAGGATGCTGGAAGTATTTGTTCCTATTCAGAAAAAAAAAATGTAAAAATGCATATGTTAAGAAATAGATAAAATAGTGGAGCAAATTTTATACCAGGACTGTTGCTCCTAACACTCTGCTTTTAAAATTTTATTAAAACAGATCACCCATCTTTTAGGCCAGTTAAGCAGTCTGCTACTGTAATGTTTTTGGTGATTGACTCGGATTTTTTGAAGCTTGGGGTCAGTGAGAACCAACTGGAAATGTTTTTTATTTGAAAGGGTGAGTTTACAGAGAGGGAGATCTTCCATCCATTGACTTTACCCCCAGGCCCCAAATGGCTGCAGCTACCAGAGCTGAGCAAACCTGAAGCCAGAAGCTTCTTCCAGGACTTGGGTGCAAGGGCTCATGACCTTGAGCCATCCTCTACTGGCTTCCCAGGCCATTGGTAGGAACCTGCATTAAAAGTGGAGTGGCGGGCCCGGCGCGGTGGCGCAAGTGGTTAAAGGTCCTCACCTTGCACGCCCGGGATCCCATATGGGCGCCGGTTCTAATCCCGGCAGCCCCGCTTCCCTTCCAGCTCCCTGCCTGTGGCCTGGGAAAGCAGCAGAGGACGGCCCAAAGCTTTGGGACCCTGCACCCGCGTGGGAGACCCGGAAGAGGCTCCTGGCTTCGGATCGGCATAGTATCGACCCGTTGCACTCACTTGGGGAGTGAATCATTGGACGGAAGATCTTCCTCTCTGTCTCTCCTCTCTGTATATCCACCTTTCCAATGAAAAAATAATAAAAATAAATCTTAAAAAAAAAAAAAAGTGGAGTGGCTAGGGCATGAACTGGTGCCCTTGTGGGATGCTGGGACTCAGCCAGCTGAGGATCAGACTACTGAGCCACTGGGCTGGCCCCAGCTGGTTTAATTTTATCACTAACTGGTCTTGACAAGTCATATAACCATTCAAGCCTTCATTTTTTCACATGAACTGAATATCCATCTACAAAGAACTCTTCAGGAAATGCAAGATGTCATTATAACCAGTACTTAAGTGCTGTATATAAAAAAGTACATTGGTATGACTGTTGAAGAAAATGACTGCATTACCAATTTGTTCACATCAATGTAGCCCTTTATAAATAATTGAATATAAATATTTGTATAGATGAAGCCACTACCCTGTTCCGAGCCACGACACTTGCAAGCACCTTGATGGAGCAATATATGAAAGCCACAGCTACACAGTTTGTTCATCATGCTTTGAAAGATTCCATTTTAAAAATAATGGAAAGCAAACAGTCTTGTGAGGTGAGAATTTCATTTTTTAAACATTTCTGGAAAGAGTGTATTTTAATATGAAAACTTCATGTAACTAATTATGGCTTAAGTAGTAACTCCATTGGTTCATCATGAGCCTCATGAAGGATGGCCTAGAAATGTGACCCATCTCTCCAGAGTCTGGCTTTGGGAAGCAGGCTGGGGCCTTCATGGCCACACTCCTACTGGCCGAGATTCCTAGAAAAGCTTCCAGGAAGGTTTCTGATTCTTTCACTTACAGCACTTGTCCCCTTGGAATGAATGGTAAAAACCATTTGGAAGGAGTTTTACATAGTAAATTATTCATACAAAGAAAAATAGTGATATAAATTGGGAACTGGAAATAGAACCTTGAACTGCAGCTTCTTGCTTGCCTTGATTCATTGTGTTGTTACTGCCAACATGCATTTATGCTGACTTACTCCTTCTCAGTTAAGCCCATCCAAGTTAGAGAAGAATGAAGACGTGAACACTAATTTAGCGCACCTACTGAACATTCTCTCAGAGCTTGTGGAGAAGATATTCATGGCTTCAGAAATACTCCCACCGTAAGTGGCGAAATTTTTTTTGACAAATTAGATTTTGCAAAAATCCCTGTTTCTCTAGAAAATGTGAAAGCTTTTCTATTAGCCTGATGTTATTTATACCCTGGACAGTCATTTTTAACATCTGCTCATGGTGAGTTACCTTTAGAGTCAATGTGGCTTATTCAGCAGCTTGGGGGAGTGAATAACATTTTGTTTGGAGGAGTCTGAGTATGTGTGCACTCTGTATTTGGATTTTATTCAGAATGTGTACCACACTGTCACTCGGCAAGCTTGACAGCCTCCACTGCAGTGCCCAGACTTGATGTCAGAGTCGTGTTAGTCCATCTGTATCTTAATTCTAATAGCTATCTCATACTTTCCTAACACAGAAGTTGAACAAAATGGTTAAATCTTTCCCAAATTAATTGTCTCGACATTTGAGTTTTCCTTCCTTTAAAAGTGAACAATTGGGTTGAAGTGTGATATTTATGTAAATTAAACTTTGGCTGCCATGAGATCAAAGTGTATCTGCTTTCCTTTTTGAGATGACTGTGTTATTTTGGCAGGACACTGAGATATATTTATGGGTGTTTACAGAAATCTGTTCAGCACAAGTGGCCTACAAACACCACCATGAGGACCAGAGTTGTGAGGTAAGGCTCACCCCTCAGCTCGTCTCTTCTTTCACTGTTCATGCTCCAGTGCTAGATTGATCACCGACTACAATTCAGAGCCTTGTTCTTTAGCTTTTAAAAATATTGAAGTGTTGCTGAGTATTTTCTGTTTAGATGGCTTTAAAAGTTTTTTCAAAGTTATGAGAGTTACTATAGCACGTTGTAAAAACCTGAATACTTGTAAGTAGTTTTAAAGAGCACACAGGATTGCACTGGTGCTGGGGAGCAAGCACAGTCCTGTATCGCCCACTGACTGACCTGGAACGCAGGCTGTTACTGTGGCTCATCTCCCCGCAGAGCCTCTCATTCTGGAACTGCTTGTTCACTGCATAAGCATGAGGACGAAAGGCTTTGGCAACTCATGGGGTTTGAGGAAGCAAATCTGGAGAGGTTCCTTTGCTTAAGATTCTATGTCAGTGGCTGGAGCAAAGCTTTGGAAATTCAATGACCTTAACATTGCATTATGCTTTTTGTTAAGCATACCCCAACCAATTCAAGAAACTGAAAGCATACTGATAAAATATTGCAGAATATAACATTTTTCTAATTATACATTAATACATACATTGCCAGTTGGATTTCTGTGAAAAAATTAAAAAGGAAACCACTAAAGGAACTAAACCATGAATCTAGAAAATGTGTTAATCTTCCAAACCTATCTTTTGTCAAGAGGTTTCTAGAACTCTGCATGCTATAGTCTCCTTGGTTAATTATGCTGTAAATATTTCAGAATTGTAGATTTTTCATAATTGGAACAGAAATAACCATGTTCAAATATTGTCAGAATATCTGTAAGTGCTAGAACACTTTCAAAACTTGCAAATAAAACTCATGCAGAAGTCCTCATAATTTAAGAGTTATGAATGAAAACACTGAGTGAAAATTCAACAGTTTGGTAATTTTTTAATTCCTACAAACTGGCACATTTTCTAAAGTATATGCTGAGAATTTGGGTTATTTCGGCAGAGGCCACCAGTTATTTAGTCTCCAAAAGGAATTTTATGGACTGTTTTAGAAGGGTGTTTTACATGGAGTATCTAAGAGGATAATTAGAACATGAGACAACAGGCATCTGAAGCTTCTCTATTAGGTAGCTGTGAATCTCAAGTTTCTAAGGACACTTAGTGAGGAGCCTGCCTGGGGTAAGTCAACAGAAGGCAAGAGAGGAAACACCGCTGACGAACTGAGCCTCTGTTAGAGTCGGTGTGACCTTGCAAATTTGGGAAAAAAGTAATATGAAAAGCAGTGATATGTTAATTAAGTAGGATCCTTTGGCTTGCTAAAGTTTTTTGTGTATAGGTTTCTCTATAAGAATTCAAATTAGAAGTTTTATGTTCTGAGTATGAAATTCACCTCTAATGTAACATGTAAGTAGTTTTCTACAAAAACAGCCGACCATCTTACTTCCCGTCTAGTGGTTTTGTGTTCCTGCGGCTTATCTGTCCTGCCATCCTGAATCCTCGCATGTTTAATATCATCTCAGGTAATCTTTCAGGTTTGGATAAATACTGAAGTTTGATGCTTTAAGAGTACAATTTGGCTTTCAAATTTGGAAACTCTGTGTGTTTAGCCTGTGTTCAGCTGCTTGAGCGGGAGTTTAAGATGAGAGTAGAATTTGCCTTTTCTCTACTTAACAATGTAGCCTGGCTGCTCCCAGTGGATATTAGAGTGGCCATCTTCCCAGTGAACCTGATTTGGTATTGTTACCTTGAATATAATAAGGAACTATCACTAATAGCAACTGGAACTATTTATTATTTAAAGCTTAAGACCAAATATGACTTAGAACCACCTATGTAAGATTACTGTTTTACCTTAACTGAGTTGTGATTTAGCAACCACAGAATGTTGCATTTCTGTCCTGTGAAAAGTGTTTCAGTTGGACTAAATAGTTACTGCAGCTGGAACAGGCTGGAATTCAGCTTTGTGAGTTGTACTGAAAGGAAAAAGAAAATGGAGTTTATTAGCAGTGAAGTGTTGCGATAATAAGTTTTAAAAGAACCCTTTTCATATAAAAATTACCAATAAATTACTTACTTTTTTGATAGTTCAGATTTGAATTATGTAGGAAATTGTAAGTCCTGAATTGCTAATGGTATTAAACTGCTAAACCTATAACGATGTGCAGTGTCTGGAGCCTGTGGCAGTGGGTATACTTGCCTCTTTCAGATTCGCCGTCTCCCATTGCTGCAAGAACACTGACGTTAGTGGCCAAGTCTGTGCAGAATTTAGCAAATCTTGTGGAATTTGGAGCTAAGGTAAAAACATCCTGATACTAACACTATAGAAGTACAGCTTAAAAGTTGTACAACAATGTATATCTCACAAAGATTACCTTTGTTTTCATGTTTGGATTTTCCATTTTTGACGCATGGAACTTTGAAATAGGAAGGCCAGTAAGCAAGAATTTAAGTGTACATTTATTTTACTGTAAACATTAAATTGAAACAATCAGGATCAGTCACTGATCAGATTACCAAAAATTCTGTGGCCGGTGCTCGAGCTGCTCCTGGGATCAGCCTGCTGGCCGGTCGGCCCTGTGGCCAGCCACTCTGACCTCTTCATCTCTGCTTTTAAGGGACAGAGTGACCCACAGGGAAGTGATTTCTATCTCATTCAGACCCCTGTACAGGTGACATACTTACCAAGAGATGATAAATGCGGAGAATTATCTGTCAAGGCAGTCCATGTCTTGCTGATTTTGCCACAGTCATGCTTGTAGATTTGTTCATCTATTGACTTTAAAGATTCTGGTAGCGCTCTGTATGACATGGCTGCCCTGCTCATCCCAGCCAGCAAAGGCTTGTTGGCACAGAAGATGTGGCCACAGGGTTTTTAAATACTCACATGGAACAACAGTTGCTATAGAATTGTCTCACTCTGTTCACTCACTCGGGCATTACCCTATAATAGCCGTGCTAATTATTTCACAGGTGGAGTAAAACTGATAATTAAACATGTATTATAAGCTGCTCTCTACCACCTGCCCAAAAATCGGACTATTATTTATTTTTGCAGATTTCTGAGGTATATTACTTTCTCATTACTGTATTACTCGTAGACATTCTGGACCTGCCTACTGAGACCCTTTTTTCCTTAAGGGTCTAGTATTCCTATTTTGTAGCGTTTTTTTCTCAGTGAGCTCAGGATTCCTAGCTAATAAACACTCACTACTGTGGCTGCCTGTGGAGTCCGTCTGAATAGCAAAGCAGGGTATGAATAACATGTTCTCCGGTTAAGGTCCTTATTACAATATCCATTCCTTCCAACCTTTCTAGCCATTGGTCTTGGTAAGTAATAGCTCTTTCTTTATTATGATTATTAAATGTGTAAGTATAAGATTTGTGTTTAGATCCAGGTTTCCCGTTCTTTCAATAGAAAGAACCGAGTTCCTCAGGGTCACTGTCTGTTCAGAAAGTAACTGCCACCGCCCGATTAGGTTAGCTCTGACCACAGGCTGCTGAGGGACGCTAGATTTCCAGTGCGTTTGCTTAGAGATCCAGGTTTCTTATGCAGCACTTTTCTTCTAGGAGCCATACATGGAAGGTGTCAATCCCTTCATCAAAAGCAACAAGCACCGAATGATCATGTTTTTAGATGAACTTGGGGTATGTATATAATTGTCAAATTCCTGATCTAGTCAGACTTTATACCCACATCTGGAGAAAGTCTTTTCCCTCCCTTTCTGGACAACAAAGATTTGTTGCTTGTATTTGTAACCAAGTAGTATAATAAATGGTTCATGCAACACTGTGGCTTTTAGACTAATGTCACCTTTTGTTTCTGCTTGGGTCCTGCATTTCTTAGCTAGTTCTGCTGGCAACTGTAACGTTGCTGTTTTATCTGAGATTTGAAACATAAATGACCCACATTTCTGCAGAGGCCATGGTTTCCCTAAAATAAATGGATTTGGTGTTAGGCTGATTCATTATGAATGTCCCTGCCCCATTTGGGCATTTACAAGTAATAAAACTGATCACAAGACAAAGGACGGGAAATATGTTCTCATTTTTAAGACCTTTTGTTTGCAACAAAAATATCAGCAGCTCTAGTAGGTAAGATAAAGCAGTAAAGTAGCACAGATGTAAAGTTAACTAGCAGAGCTTGCCTTGCACTAGGTCAGCATTCCGGTCAGCACGTTATGCCTTGAGAAGGTGTCATTCCATAGTGGAGCAGTCACTGTAAATCTTACAGCTGCACATGTGCCAGAAGATGACAAAGTGTTGGGGCTGTGCCACCCACATGGGTGACACAGATGGAGTTCTAGCTGCCAACTTGAGCCTTTTGGAGAGTAAACAAATAAATGGATGGTTTAATCCCTTGAAATTAGTTCGAGATGCTTTTAATGTCAGTAGTTGCAACCTCAGGTACAAACTATTACATAGTTCCATATTTATAATAAAATTTACGAATACAGAACATAAATCTGAATTACTAGCAAATAGTGAAGCCCTCTTTTATTAGAAAAAAGTAAAAAGTTAATGATTGGCTATAAACTGGAAAAATATTTGCCTGGTAACTTAAGCTGCCTTCGCGTGTTTTCAGATTCGCAGAAGGATGTCTTGGCCAGAGCCGTGACCCCACGCGCTTGCAGGCCGGCGTGCTGCTGCCTTCCCCTTTAACAGTCCAACTGTAGAGGTCACGGCCAGCTGTCAAGGCCCTAAGCCCGACAAAGTTCTTTTTTGTTCTGCTGCCTCCTAACCCTGTTTTCTCAGTTACAGACCATAACCAACACCATAGTATCTTTTGTGCCTAGAATTCTTTAGTCATTCTGCCTAATTATATTTCTATCATACAAAATTCAAGGTTTTTATAGTTCTTAACTTATGCAAGTATTGTAACCATTACGGGCAGAGTAAGGATCGGCATTGTGGGTAATCCACACCTGTTACCCACAGTGCTTAGGTGGGGTTTGTGTCCCCATCGGGTTCTCACTGCCTTTTGATAATTGTTTCTACTTTCATGCTAAACAGTGCTCTTGATGCATTTTAAAATTGTATGGGTCATTGAAGAAACTAAGTGCAGTCTTATGATTCCCTTTTAAGAATGTACCGGAGCTTCCAGACACTACAGAGCATTCTAGAACTGACCTGTCCCGTGATCTAGCAGCCTTGCATGAGATTTGTGTGGCTCACTCGGATGAACTGCGAACACTCAGTAATGAACGTGGCGTGCAGCAGGTATGGTCCGACCAGCCTGTATTAACAATGATGCTTCATTAACACAGCTGAACTCCAGTCACCTGGCAGACAAAGATGCACTTTAGGCACTACAGATCTTAATCAGGAGCCTAAAAGGTTAGCTGTGCGATAGTGGTATTCATTGCACATGTTAAATGGGCAAGGGAATTACCGTTCGTTCTTGTTGGCTGTACATCGTCTCCCCCTCACGCACCCAGTGACTGTCAGTCACTGTGAAACGTGAGAATTGTTTGGCGAGGTTGACAGGTATCTAGACATTGTGGAGTGTAATCTGGAGTATACTGCATGCTGTCATCGCATTGGCTGCCATGACAAAGCTACTGTACAAGAGCAGAACTGCTCTGTAGCCCCTTATTCTATTCTGACAGGACACGTTATCCTAGAGATTGTTAAGGCCAAAAAGAAATATTTTGTTCTCAATTTTTTCATGTTTGACTTTCTAGCATGTACTGAAAAAGCTCCTGGCTATAACAGAACTCCTTCAACAGAAACAAAACCAGTACACAAAAACCAATGACATCAGGTAGCAGCCTCCACACCGTGTTCTGCATGGATCCAGCATGCCCATTCACATCAGTATGACATCTCCTTTGCTCTTGCCAAAAAATAGCACACCTTTCCACATTCCAGTGATGTGTGAACTATGCAAACAGAACTCAAGACGCTGGTAAGGGTGCCAGCAACTCGGTCAGCTGTCTGTGCAGGGAGTTAGACTTGTTCCATATGGAATCTGTTTACCAGCCTCAGCCTTGGTGTGCAGACGACCTTTCAGGAAACAAGATGCTAGGACTACCGGGAACTCTGAAAATCTATTTTCAGTACATCAAATTGCCAAAGTTCTGCTGTCTCTTGGAGAAAGAACTATGGACTCAGCTGACCAGATGAAGCCTCCGCAGGGACAAGTGAGGGTAACCGGACCTCAGACTGTCCCTCCTGATGAGGACGAGGACCATCTGACTGTTCAACGACTATTTGTATTTAGTTTCCAGACTTTGTCATTATAATAGGAACAATCTTTACTGTATACTTTTTTAAAATACTGTGCTATTTCTCTTGCTGAAACTGTTGAAAGAAAATATATAAGAATGGATCTATTTCATCAGCTTTATTTTTTAAACATACCACATATTTTGTTGGAATTGTCAAATGCTTTTGTTAAATGTTTACAACCGTAAATAATTTGAATTCAATAAATATTATTGGTCATTGTACTGATCAATGCATGTTATCCATTCAACCACTTTACAGGTTACCTACTTTTATGCAAGAAAAGATCAGCACCTCCAATGCTTTTTGTTGGAAGCTCTGTCACCCCTAACAATGCAGACCGCCTCACTGACTGCAGCTATCTGCATACTTAGTTTTACTGCACAGTTTTATTTGCTTCTGTATGAAGTGCTTGCAAGGGCTAAGTTAAAGCCAAGGGATATCTTACATAGGTTAATTACTTCTTCCTAAATCTATAGTGAGGCCTCTCATTTTGGGGGACGCCATGGGAGAAGAGACCTCAGGTTAGAACGCTGCACGTGTTAGGCAGCAATTTACAACAGAGTGTGTGGCAGTGCCTTCTCTACTAGAAGGCAAAGGTCGTAAAATAGAAATTCTCACAAATGTCAATATTTGATTGTACTTTAAAATACAAGGGGAAAGGTTATCAACTAGTAGCAGAATGTTGCATTGTTTTTGGACATAAGTAACTTTGGATGTCACTGCTGAGCCATGATTGAAGCTATTCCAACAAACTTTTCGTTAGTATCAACTCAGTTCATCCCATCCTTTCTGCTTTTCCTGATTCTAGCTTGAAAACAGCAAAAAGGCCCTAACCCTTGCGCTAACCATCCTGGTTCACGTGCATTGAGCACACTGCTGTCTTTCCACCCTATGTGCCTTTTGTTGCAAAACACAAACTTTAAAGTCTCACCCTGCCTCTATAAACAACATTGTATTACATAAGGTAGATGGGAAAATTTGTCACGTACCTCGTACCTCCGTAGGCCTTGTAGAAACTAGCTGGGCACCTGACAGATTTGACTAATTTCTGTTACTAGGGCTCAATGGGCAGTTTTCAGAAACGTGAGTAATCTGGAAGAGAAAAAGCAGAGTGTGTGAACGGCCGCTGTTCCCTGCGGAGCCCAGCCGCGCTTCAGCTTTCCCTCTCTCTGGTCTCGTGTTTTTGTCTGAGTAGTAAGACCTCTCATCTCATATTCAAATATTCAAGCCTAAATTGTAAATAGTAGAAAAAGTGCATAAAACTCTGTTCAGATACCAAAATGTAATGAAAATGCTACCTACCCTCACAGGAAGCGTAGGTGCCGAGTTTGTTTTCTTTCAGATAATCTAAGCAGATCCAGTTGCGCTCTTCAGAATTCCTTCAGGCTGGTTTTCCAGGAGACATCTGTATAGACATCCACTTCTGCTCCTGGCTAGCAGCTAGCACGCATCCAGTGCTTGGTCGGCGCACGCACTACGCTCCCCGGTTCTGCGGGAGTGGCACCATCATTTCCCCTATCTGCCAGCTGGGCAACGCGCCCACAGGAGAGTCAGTGATGTACCAAGGTCACACAGTGACAGAGGCGGTCGTGACTCGGGCAAGGAGTTGACTGCCATGGTCTGTGCTAACACCAGCTCATTTCCACTTGAACGTCTAATGATTAAACTCAAAATTCCTAGTATGACTTATTTACACGGATTTGCTTATAGGTAATTAATAAAGTATACCACTTGCTAATATCTACTAATTTACAGCAACTTAGGATTCTTAGACAGCTAATCAGAAGTTTTTAAAAACTCACTCAGAAATGCTCGCAGTAACTGAGGACAGCAGGTCAGCTCCTCGTGCCCTGGAAGGGCGCTGCGCTCCTCAGGAGCCATGCACACCGAGATGCCGGCACAGCAGCCGGAGGCCCCATCCACCTTCCCACCAGGCGCCACATTCCTCAACATTGCTAAAATGACTCATTTTCCTGTGGTGCCTTTTCCCAAAAGGAAATGTGTGATTGTTACATTTTGTATGAAATCAAGGCAGATTAATTACAGTTAGTTCGCCTACCACAGAAACACTAAATTAGTTATGGTGGGGGCAAGAATATCCAAACTTTGTATCATTCTGAGCTTATTTTATTCTTTTATTTTACACATGGCTGCCAAAAAGAGTAAACAATTTAAATAACTTAGAAAATATTTTAAAAGTATGGTGTGAGAACACCCAATAAAGAGCCAAATGCTTCCTACTTTAAGCACTGACTAATTAACTTGGAAAGGTTTAGATGGAATCTACTAGGTCGTCGTCAGTCCAGTCTTCCTAGGGGGGAAAATGCGGTAGTTAACATCGGTGCATATCCAGGACTGCCGGCCCCGGGCCTCCCTTAGGGGAATTCTCATCACCCATGCTGATTAAAGAGAAATAAACCAGGAAGATTGGCAGTAGTTGCACCTTACAGAGCCCTGACATGTCCTCATCTGCTGTTCACTGAGGAACACAGCCTGACCCGCCCGCGTGCATTCGTCTCAACCTGCCAGCTGTTTTCAAAGGGGAGGGGGCTGGGACAATCTTCGAGGAATAAAATAAAGCAAAACTGGCACTTGTGTGTAGGCCTGCTTGCTTCTATATACTCAGAAAGGATTCTTACCAACTATTAATACTTTCCAGAGAAAAATCCCTTTACTAATGCACAATGTACATTAAAAAGCATGCAATAAATGAAGACTTCAAGAGGCCACACCTACAGAATGTCTGTGCGTTTAGAGCAATAAATCCCCAGAAAACAGACATACCTCCTCCTGTCTGGCTTTCTTTGCAACATAATCATCGTCTTCATAGCCTTTTCTCTTCTTCCTGGAATGAACGCCAGCAATGAGGAGTCATGCAGTGGTTGTGAAGAAAACTGACAAGGCTCTGTGCATCACATGCATGGCCTGGACAGACAGGAACAACTCACAGGAGGGTGACAGGAGCCATCGAGGCAGTGGGGCTGGCTGACTCGAGGACTGAAGCCCCACACCGCGTAGGAGACCAGGGCATGGTGCCCCGCTCCAAGGTCCTGACACCGGGGAGTGAACCAATACATCAGGACTCTGTTTCTCTAACTTTCAGGTAAATTAAAAAAATAAAGCATTCTGGCATTTAACAAACACTAATGATTAATAAGCAAAAAATGACTATACATACGAGTTTAGTCTTTGTATTTCTAGTTCCTTTGAATGATCAAAGAATAGTAAATTAATAGCCAAGATGAAAGTTAATATTTATAAATCTTGTTCTATACATGGCATTTACAATAATTCTGTTTTCACAAACCTAAAACAAATATTGACTGATTTAAACACATTAACATAAAAGCATAAGGCCAAATATTCTCCACCAAAAAGGAAAATGACTCACATTTAAGAAGTTGAATATTTAGACTATCAAGCACTACACATCAAGCAAAGCATGCGAGTAAATCGGTGAGGGTTCTAAGTAACCAGGATAGAGGAATTAGGACTTGAGCGTCAGTGTCAGCAATCACTGCTAACACGAAATGTAGACGAGGATATAAAGTGAAGCGCGCAAGCTTTCCTTCACGCTCAGAAAACGTGGGTCAACAATGACACGGGCTCCGGGTGCGCACCGGAAACCTGCTGGTCAGAAGGAACCTGCACATCACACAGGCATTTAATGCAGTTCTTATGAAAAATAATATTAAGAGAGACAAATAGTTTGTCCTGAGTGATGCTCGTGTTGGTGCATGAAGCACTGCGGTGCAAGCACACCACGGAAACGCCAGCAGGCCGACAGAGTGACTTCAAGGGTGCTGAATTAGTAAGATTTGGCCCCATGTTTCTGCATGTCTTCTGATTTTCATTTTTCTATCTGGGAATTCATTTTTACTGTATCTTATAAAAATATATGTTAGTAATCATTTTTTAAAAGCCCTTCAGACAGCTTGGACAATTTCATTCAGAAACATTTAGGTTGGTCCAATTACAAGAGAAAATCTGTTTCCTTACTAATCATCAGTAAAGAGTTTGAATATGTTGAATTTCCTACTGTAGCGAAACAGTACTTACCACTGCACTAGTTCTTCACAAACCCAAGACCCGCAATGAGACCAAAGGTGAAAAGGGCAGGGCAGGGCTGAGGGTTCCCTAGGGAAATCCGACTCCTACGCCCGCACAAAGGGCCACAGGACACGCGTGCCCAGAAGCGCCTGAGGACACCCACACGGCTCACGCGGGTGTCATCCTGTTAGCCACGTGGGACAGATGCTGCCCCCCCAGGACGAGCCGCACTCAGGGAGTGAGAAATCGTCACTTACATCGCCACGTTGAGTGCCAGCTCGGCTGAGTGGCAGCGTTCCAGCTTCTGTTTCAGAACCGCCACCTCCTCGGGTCTAGGCGGCTCATACTTTTTCACTAAGTTTCTCATGCCTATATGGAGGCAACAAAGGGTTTAATTTGAATAATTGCTGACTAATAATTTCCCAACTTATCATAGGAGAAAGGAAATGGCTTAAAATGTTCTATTTAACTGAAATTTTAGCATGATCACTTTTTTTTGTAGTTTTGAGGCTTTAAATATTTAAAAACTTCAAATGACTTAGAGAATATGCTTTTATCCTTTACCCCAACCACATTCATAACCCTCTCACAGAGGGCAGGCAGTGAGTCTATTTCTCGTTTCCAAAGCAGATGTGAATACGCCCTGAAAGGATTCCTTGGAGAAAATGCACAGGAATTGTGAAGACTGTGCTTCTCTACATTAAACCAGCTCACCAGAACTTTAAGCATCCTTTAGCCTATCTTGTTCCACAACTACAGTAAACCAAGAAATATCTGAACATTTGCTAGCAGATAAGTTGGGTGCCATGGTGCAGTGGGTTAACTTGCCAGTTGGGGTGCCCACATCCCAAACAGCAATGCTGCTTCAAATCCTGGCACCTTCACTTCTGACCCAGCTTTCCTGTGGCGCTGGCTCCTGCCACCCCTACGGGCGACACAGATGGCGCCCAGGGTCATCAATCTCAGCTGCTGTAAATATTTGTGGGAGTGAAACGGTGGGTACAAGATCTTTCTCTCATTCTCCTGTTCCCTCTGCCTTTTAAATAGATGAAAATAAACTTAAAAATGTTTTCAACAGATCCCCGAGCGGAAGGATGGAAGATCTGGGCTGATTAGCCAGTGTCCCAACTGAATAACCACACTACAGACTTTGCTAATATTGTAAACAAAGCAATGTTTTCAACAGAATCAACATCTGTAACTTAACACCTTAGAGTAATACCTGTGTTCTAAAAAATTATGAATATCACTAAATATTTTATGAACAGTAATTCTTTTGTATCAAAATGCCAAGTAAAACAAAGGTTCTGAGACAGTAAGATTAATAACGGTGTAAGCAGTAACAGGAATATGATAAAGCATTTTGTGGGCACCTTCGACCTACTAAATTCTATGGTCATGTCAGTTACGGCCAAATCAAATTTCGCTTTCACAGTGAACCCCCTAGTGGTTTAACTGGAGACCTACAGCCATGGACTCAAAGCACGAATCAAGGTTCAAAGACTCAAGGCGCAGGATCAAGGACCGCCACCAGAACCAAGAAATAACTGTCCCGAAGCACATAACTTTTAAAATAGAAAACACAAAAATGTATACCTAGGTACTGTAATGCAGATCAACCTTAAATTCACTCTTGATTCACTCATACTTTAATTACATTTCAAACTTAAGAATGTTTGAAAACACAACACAGGACCTTTAACCTTACAGAGAGGACGGCCTGGCAGCTATGAGCAGGATAGGGGCACGGCCAGGGGCAGGATGGAAAAGGCTGGCACATCCAGCTGGACTTCACATCAACTTTCAGAGCTGTTCCTCAATGCCAGCCCCCAAGATAATAAACCGGGCCGGACTTGTTTCCTGGCGCAGCCATAAATACTATCCCCAAGAGGGTGGATAAAGCACCTGATGTAGTCCCCGACATTCTGCAGCTTACAACGTCGCACTGAGCCAGCGACAAGGCCTTGGGGGCCCCTCCTGGAGTCGTGGGCAGAACCCCAGCACTGTTGAGTCTCCTCTTTCTCAGGACCCGTGCATTTAGCCATCACTGCAGTAATCAGGGCTGGCTGTTCCCATCTCCACACCCTTAAGTGTTCTGCAAAAATTCCTGCACTCTGGTTGGCTTGCCATAGAGGAACATTCCTGTTCTAGGGGTTAGTAGGAGCGTGTTCCCATCTGTCAGCAGTCCCCGTGGGGTTCCTGCCCCCCAAGAAGCCAGCGGCAGCCAGCACCACCCCAGGCTGACGGCCAGCAGGTCTCCAGACCAACACTGGAGAAATTTGGGGCATCCACTAAATAGGACTATAGTACAGTTATTCCAACTAGTTTATAAAAGTGAATTTCCACTTTTAAACACTATCCTTAGCTCCCTTTAGATTGTGTTCGTGCCTATTACACACACACACACACACACACACACACACACACACACACAACCCGCATGAGCAGCCGCCGCCTCTGCGCCTGCTACCTCTTCTCCACAAATGCATTCATGTCTTTCCTGCTTCCAGCATACAGTGAGTGAGAGGAAACAAAGAAATTAGCATGTTAGAGAAAATACCAAAATGGTATTTAAAAAATTCATTTGGAAAAATGTTGTTTTACTTACTTTTCATTATATCCAGTAACTGGGACAAGCAAGTTCTGTTTTCTCTCAGCATCAGACTCTCTGATAAGTAACTGACCAAGAAAGGAATGGTTTTATTCTTTTGAAAACACAGAGCATACTGAGAAAATACGACATCGGAAATGATTTTCCTCTATGTTTACTTCAGTGGCAATTCTAAAATGAATTCAGTTTCAAAAGTCTATGAAACCCACTGAAGTATACTCTACAACCTTGACAATGTTAAGGATCCAACCTTACATTAGAAGATATTTACTGTTTAGAGTCAAATTATTTAAATTTTCTAAGTTTTCACAGGAATAACAGTTTAACACCAGTAACAGTCGATACTATAATGTGTTTCCATTACAAATCCTTTCAAGTTTTTTTTCCTAAGAACTGGCCGACCAGAGTCTTACCTTTGTGAAGTCTTCTGAATTAACAACTCAGTAATGAGTTAGAGTTTTAATATTTGTTTTTTTAAAAAATCAACAGGCAAGATTATCAAAAGATGAGAAAGTTCAAACCCACAAGAACAAAGTAACAATAAAACATCTAGATAACAACCAGCCACATTTCCAAAAGGTTTTCCCTTTTTGAAACCAGCAGTCAATGCAAACACAACACTCCTACACCCCCACAGCCAGCTGCAAAGGAAAAACTAGGAAGCATTTCTCCAGAGGAAGGAAAAAAAAGCCAAGACACCTTATAGTCTGAGAATGCCACAAAAGTCTATTTAATTTGCAATTAGCCCAGATTACAATTTTGTGTTGCTAGTATTATAACTCAAGTTCTAAGAAGAAATCAACCCAAGTATGCTTCCTGTCACTGTAACTACACAACTCAAACTCTCCTGCAAGACATTGTGCACCTACACACACCCCAAAAGACCGCACCCCATCAGCCCACGTTCTGGGCAGAGGAGCTGCAGAAGGATGCTCCCCCAGGAAGCGAGGCTCCGCACCGCAGCCCGAGATCCTTTACGTGGCTGGCTCCCAGACAAGGACAGGAGTTTTACATCCTGTGCATTCCGAGAGAAGGCAAAGCGCACAGAGACATGGAGCAGAGGGCTTCAGCCTGCTGCCGTCCCTGAAGGCCACCACGACTGGAGCTCCTCAGTCTGCCCAGAGGGCCGCCTCTCAGCATGGGCACCAGCAGGAAGGATGCGAGAGCACAGCTGGGTCCAAGGAAAGTGCTTGGGCGTGCCATGAGCCTCCTAACCCACGCCCTGCGCACTGGGCCAACCACCCGCACCTGTTCATTCTGCAACTCAGCCCAGGTACAGCAGCACAAACGGTACACTCAACAGTTTCTGGACAAATAAATGGAAGTATACATCACTTCAGAATTAAGCATATATTTTTATAAAATTAGTGAGCTGTATCGGTAAAGAGCTACACCAGAAATAAAATACAAGTGCCCATTTCCTCATCTGAGATGCAGACATGCGGCGACATTAATAATTGTCTTAGGAAAGCATCCTGCTACATCTGTTCCAAAATGTGAACTATTACTGCCCACGCAGTCGCCAACAAGGAAACATATCAATATTCCTATTAACTGTAATAAAAATTAAACATCTGTTCCTATCTACTATTACTTTACACATTTTGAAATTATGGAGATAAGAATTATAAGCCCACAAAACAGTTTGGGTTTAGAAAATTTTATCCCTCTTATATTAAGCCATATCTAGCAACAAAATCAAACAGAGGTTCAATGGTCACAAATGGAAAAATTCAATAAAGAAAAAAAAATATTGGTTTTACTTGCTGTAAGCCTGTGCTTCAGTTATGTATGGTAACAGTAGTACGGGCAAATTAATATTTGATCCATATAAAGATACTGTTCTAAGGATCAAGTGAATTTAAGGATTTGGTTCTTTGTGAACACCTATGTATTAACTATATTATTTTATGGCTCCATTGCACGCAATTCCATTGGACAGTCCCTGAAGCATTATTGACTCAACACATCTTTGCTGAATATCCTGTGTCAGACACTCTAAGCAGGGAACAACTACTGTAAGGCAAACAGCTGCTCAGCAGTTCAGGAAACTTTCCAACATACACTTTGCCAAGAGGAACTATTCTACATTAATCCTATGTATCCCCTTGGCCCAGCAGCATCCGCTTCATTTTTAGTAATTTCAGCCAAGCTGGTAGCTGAGTAGAAGCTCTAGGGACCACTACCCTGCACACACAGTGCCAAGTGGTAGGCACTCCCCAAGTCTCCTCCTCCAGAGCCAGTGACACCCTCTGGACTCGCTCCAAGATCAGGCAGGGATCTGTGCTATAGGGAGACTTGCTGCGGCAGGCAGCACCCAAGCTCTTGTGGGCCAGCAGGTCCCTGAGGACTCTGGGCCCCAGGTGTGACACACCCAGTGCTGGCCGCCCTGAGTCGCTGAGGAGATGCCTCGATCCGTCCCCCCTCATCCCTGGCACACAGAATCACACTGCTGCTTCAGATCTTAGGACCGGCCTGACAGAATCCACCCCTGAGCACATTCCTAAGTTCCTGCCCCAGGCCAGCACCTGCAGAAAGAACCTCTGGCAGAGTCCTTGGTCCTGACTGAGCATGCTCACAGCAGGCCACTGGGATCCTTAGGGCAGCCACAGCAATGGCTTGCAAGCACCACATCTCCTATGGGCGCCGGCTCCACTGCTCCACTTCCTATCCAGCTCCCGGCCTGTGGCCTGGGATAGTAGTGGAGGATGCCCAGGTCCTTGAGACTGTGCTTACACGGGAGACCCAGAAGAAGCTCCTAGCTCCTGACAGGTTCAGCTCCAGCCATGGGGCCTTTTGGCGAGTCAACCAGCAGATGAAAGGTCTTTCTCTTTGCTTTTCTCTACAAATCTGCCTTTCAAATTAAAATAAGTAAATCTTTGCCAAACATAAAAACCAGAGATCCACCACACCCAACCTGGGTGACCCCAACTCTCACCCCACTCCTGAGCACAGACCACACATGCTGCCTACAGCTTCTTCCCATTTCTACTTGCAAAGAACAGTGATCCCACAAAGTCTCAAAGACAAGCTCAAAAATAAAAGCTCTAAGAGGAATAAGTGGTGCTGGCAGAAATGACCAAAAATAAACACACACACACACAAAAAAACATGAATAAGGGAGACAATATGATTCCCTCAAATGAAAACACCGCATTAGAATATAAAGACAGATTGATGAGATGCCTGAATTCAAAAAATGAAAGATTACTCAAAAGCAAGAAGCAGATGCAGGAATTCAAGACATGCAAAGCTCTTCCATCAAACTGAATCATTACAAATAAAGAATATGCCTTCAAAATGGAGAAGGCAGGCTTTATGACAGAACTGGCGAGGCAGAAGAAATTCTGGGGTAGAAGACAATTCTTGGGAAAATTCTCAGACAAAAAAAAAAAAAAAACAAAAAACAACCAACAACAACAACAACAAAAACCCCAAAACTGAGTAAAACCAAAAGAAGTGTCCAACAATTACATGATATCATCAAGCAACAAATGTGCATTTTAAGAATTCTTAAGAGATTGGATCAGAAAGCCTATTCAGTGAAATCGTAACTGAAAACTTCTTAACAGAAAAGTGGAACTACAGGAATCAAAGAACTGGGACAGGCAAGAGCACAAACCAGCTTCACCACGGCACATCAGATGCAGCCTTCCAGTTACAGTGCACAAAGACACGACACTAAAATGTCATATGAGAAGAGGAGGCTCTGCAGTCACAGCTGACTTCTCATCAGAAGCCCTAGCGGCTAGGAGAACACACACACACAGTCCAACACTCAGAAGTAACTGCCAAGCAGAGGGCTACATCCAGTGAGGATCTCAATTTCATATGAAGCCAAAATAAAAATCTTACAGACATACATTGAAAGAATTGGCCACGATCCACCCAGCCCTTCATGGTGCTTAAGGATGTATTACTACACACAAACAGAAAATGACAATCACCATCATCAATGAATGAGACGGTAGAAAATCTCTTAGAAAAGGCAAAAGGAAACCCAAAGCAAACAATGGTATTACATGTCGCCGTCCCGCAGCGACGGACTTGGTGCACAGAGCCGATAGTAACGCGCGTGGACCCTGACTGATGGCCAAAGCCAAAGTTTATTAGGGGCATCAGACTTTATACACTGAGAGTCCGTACTGTTTCCCTCTCTTGATTGGAATTCCTTTTGTTTTGTATATTACACCAGGTGTTCTCATTTACATGCTGTTTATACCAAAGGTAGCCATTTGGTTATTGTCATGCAAATACTGTCCAATGAACTGCAAACCTGTGCTCGCTGACCTTCCAGGCTCACAATGTCCTCCTACAATTACATATGAAAAAAACAGGACTGTCATTTGCTTTCAACAATATGTAAATGGTGTGAACTTTCCAAAAGATATGGGCCATCTGAAAGGATGACAGAATATGACTCAGCTGTTTGCTGTCTACAAGAAACATGCAAAGACACACACCGGTTCAAGGAGAATGGATGAAAAAGGATATTGGTATGACAGCAGAAAACAAAACCAAGCAAGTGCAGCCACTCTAATTGCAGACAAAATGCACTGTACCATCATTAAATCAACTATTAAGAGATGAAGAAATATTCACATAATGATCAAGGGATTCGTTAAAAAAGTAGTAACTACTGTGAATGTATATGTATCCAACACAAGAGAATCGGGTTATTTAAAACTGTAGCTAACACATCTAAAGGGAGAAATGGATTCCAATGCTATAATGGGCGATTTCAACAGCCCTCTTTTACCAATAAACAGACTGTCTAGAAATAGAGTTAACAAAGAAATAACTGACCAAATAAATGCTATGGGTCAAGTGAACTTGGTATCCCCAGGACATTCAATCCCCCAGATGCAGACAGACCTTGTCTCAGTTCATGGAACCTTCTGAAGGTCAATCCTCAGCACATTTAAACATAACTGAGATAATACCATGTATTGTTTTTAGCCATCATGGAATGGAGCTGGTAATAAGCAAGTCAACTCCAGAGAGCATGCAAACACAGAGACTGAAAAACACTACTGAATGAACAGTGGGTCATAGAAGAAATCTCAAG